GAAAGCACAATTTCAAGTTGTGATTTAAGACGGCAACCAAGTTTGAAAGCAATCTATTGAAAACTGATAGGAAAGATTATGAAAACCGTAAAAGGGCAGTAACTCTTCTAAATACAGACGCATCAATCTATCGTTCCGGAAAACACAATTTCGTGTTATGGCGATTAATCCTAACAAGTTTAAAAGCGATTAAATGAAAACTGGGAGGAGATCTCGACAAATAAAACGTTTACGATGGGCGAGAAAATAATTGATGGGCATTTCGGCAAAAGCAATCCAACACAACAAATCATTATCTAAACAAAGATATCAGGAATAAATTCCACAACTTTTGAAGATGGGATTTTTATTTCTTTCGGTCATGAATGTCAGTGATTCGCGTGACACGTGCTGATGAGGGGGGGGGGGGGCTTTTTGATGGACATCGCAGAGATTATCTCCATAGAGACTTCATAATTTTTCCTATACAGTGAAATCTATTTATGGATAATGAAAAGGCTATTTCAAAGATACGATGAAAAGGTAGGTGTTAAGCTCTTGATGTTACGTAATCTGATAAAACCTCACTGCGTCTTCCGACTCTTGTAATTCGTTATCGAGGGTCTATCGTGTGCAAATGCTTCAACAGTGTTTTGTACATACCATTCTGACTTACCACCTCAATTTTATAAACATCTGTAACATGATAACCTTGTTTTCTCGACCGGCTATATGCACAACCTGATGGAGTTGAGTAACAAACCCGGACAGATAAAAAGACAATATGTGTTTATGAAACACTATGTTTCCGGTTGCTACAAAAGTCTGAAGTGGGACATTAAAACTGTGTTGTGTAAGGCATGTGCTAATTACATGCACACTTTGTGAAATACGTCTTCATTGTGCAATAGTTAAGGCCAATGTTTAAGTTTTTTCAAATGTAGGTCAAAGGTCATAGTCAAGGTAAAATGGTCAATAATTTTGGTACCACCGGAAATGTCTTGTCACACAAGGAACACACATGCAAGATATGAAAGCCCCGCCTCGTACGTTGCAATGGTTATGGGCAAGGTTGAACAAATTAAGAGACAGTACAAAAACAAAGATTGTGTCAAAAATTAAAAATATTATTTCTTCGAATTGTCCTGTGCCTTGTAGCAAAGAAAGTCTTTACCGTGTGTGTTATATAGACACTTCAATATCACATACGGATGGTATGTCAGTATTATATTTTACAAGGAGATTTTTGCACCTGGTTTTATATCGATTACCCGTATCCGTCAAACTTCAGGCAAGTCGTTTTACTATCTATTCACTGTTTTTCGAAGTCAGAAAATAAATCTTAATATCAAAAAATCGATTTGTGATGTCAGAAAATGCGTCTTTTTCTTACATATTTTAAACATCAAAGCGACGTAAGCTTGTATAATGCCTATATACTAGACGATGATGACAGATGTGTATGTACACGCGCCTATGAATACGGTAATTAATGTTGATTTAAAGGTTTCAGATCTTAATTGTTGACTTTGATGTATAATTTATTGCATACTCATAATGACTGTAAAATTTCACATTTTACATAGATGTATTTAAATACGAGCGCTGAACCTGAAATGTTGTTTGTTGTTGACCATGGATTCTTGAAATTCAATTATCTATTTATCAAGCTTTTCGTCCACTATAACGACCTTTCGGTGGACAACTACCTTGAAATGTTAACTTAAAACTCCATACTGTGGTTATTTTCTTTATGCAGTCAACACATCTGCCCATAATTTATCGGCACGAACGGTGTACGCACAAGGTGTGAAATTACATATGTACACATGTACATGCCACCGAGTCGACAAACAGTTCACACATGTGTTTAATAGCACGTACACACTCCATTCGCACACGAACTGCAGTATGGAAGCAAACGAACAGGAATCTCGTTCCAAATTTATGACTGACAATTCCACGGTGGATGATGTATTGTTAGCTTTGAAACCTCTAGGACGCTATCAAATAACGACTGTTATATGTGTCTTAGTCGGCTTCATGCAGATGGTACATGCAGTCCTTATACACGTTTTCATTGGTAAGTATTTTTGCCTGTCTGGTTAAATTCTTTCCGGATGTCACTACGTGTAAAGGACGTTTGATAACTTCTTGTCTACCCCTATGGTAATTGTAGTAATAGTAATTCTATGCTGAGTAAATATATGTACATCTCCGATCATTATCGATTTGTAAATGTAAAGGTTGACGTATGTAAATGTATGTATAATTTGTATGAATAAATACCTAAACAAATATAGGATGTTAGATTAATCTTAGCTGTGACAGCCTAGTCACTAGAGCATGCGAAAGGAATATCGAGATTCGGGTCATACATAGGGTATTTCATACAAAACTTTTAACAGAAATTAAACAGACACGTATATGCCTTTACACATACATAGCTTAAAGTGCAAATCAGTCAAGCAATAGCAAAGCACAAACTTAACTTATAATAGGTCGAAATATAGATAAATAAAAAATCAAGCACAGTGGACATTGGATTGCTTTGTTCTCGACGGTTTTAATCACATTTTTCTAGTTCGATTTGATTTCATACCTTTGACTTTTAGAATAGTAATATTACTAGACTCTTTCATGTGTCAGGGTGTAGGATAGAGATATCCCGCCCGAGGGCTCACACAATGTCCTAAAACCAGATGCTTTGCGTTTCTGGTATCAATAATTACCCACAGTTATAAACTATTCACTCTGGCTTTCACGCTACTTATAACACATTTCTTTGTTCGATACGTGATCCATCGATCATTGCAACCCCTCGCGCCTTTATTTGCTTTCTTGGTCTTCTTTTTCTACTCCGCCCTCACCGACCCGATCCCCCAACCTTTTATTCCACTTTACATTAATCTTGCCTATCCTATTCCGTTTATAGTGAAACTAATTTTCTCAAATTAACGACTATATTTGTCTATTACACACATTTGCCACCCAACCATCCCCATTTTCTTGCAGCTAAATTTGTTTCCGACGTTATCTTCTTTCCGAATGGTGGCAATATTAGCATCATCATTTTTTTTATTCATTCTCACTCGACGCCTTGTCTACCACCTATATGTTGCCACTAATGAGTAAACCATGAGTCATATATATTGATTTGTATATTACTTTTATCATCACATCAAATGCGGTATCGTCAGAAGAGCTGAAACATCACATTGAGCAGGTGTGACACAAAACGTCTATTCATCCGAGATTCTCGAGATCAGAAGCACGATACTGACAACGTGTAATACATGAGCACGTGTATGTCTTCACGACCTGTACCACAACAGAAAGTACAGGTAATCACTGTCTTCACGGCATGTACCACATTAAGTACAGGTAATCTCTGTCTTCAAGACCTGTACCACAACATTAAGTACAGGTAATCTCTGTCTTCAAGACCTGTACCACATTAAGTACAGGTAATCACTGTCTTCACGACCTGTACCACAACATTAAGTACAGGTAATCACTGTCTTCACGACCTGTACCACAACATTAAGTACGGGTAATCACTGTCTTCACGACCTGTACCACAACATTAAGTACGGGTAATATCTGTCTTCACGACCTGTACCACAACATTAAGTACGGGTAATCGTCACCACCTGTTCCACGATATGATGTACATGTAATAATCACTCCCTGGTAAAATAACACACGTTCCGTTTAGTTTTATCATCATACCACCAAATAGTAAAACTTTAAAACGAAAACTAATGTAATAACGACTTGTATTTTGACGAATATGCTAATACATATAAAGACATATTTCTCTTTTTCAGTATTATAATATTTGTAGTCACGTGTATAAACCAATAAAACGTTAAATATAATGTACATTTATGACGTCGAAATTCACTGTCGGGTACCTGTTAAGGAATTGTCTTTTCAAGATGGTGGCCGTAGACGGCCACAAAATATGTTGTTCACTTTAAGTCATTGGTTTATGAATACAATCAGACAGAGACAAGTACCATGCGAAACTCAGAAATACTCGAAATTTGTATTACAATTTGTGTATGGTCATAAATAATTGTGAGCCCTTCGCAAAGTTGAACGAACTGTTGAATTCAGCACCGAGGTGAGACTTGCTGTTAGGTTTTGCTCATATCGAAATATTGAAGCAGTCTAAGGTTGATTTTCATTGTCAGAGAGACACTCCAATAACTTCCGCTTATAAACTATCTTTTATTTATGCTCATTTCCTGACGACGTGGTACTTGTCAGATTGTATTCAAAAACCACTGACTTTGTAGCTTATAGTATACGTCCGACGTCTTGAAAAGACTATTCCTTAACAGGTACCCGACAGTGAAATTAGCCAGATGACGTTGTACGATCATCACATCAGAATTATCTATATCTCTGTGGTGACTAGGTTTATTGTTTCGCGGACAGCTACTCATTTTGTTACAATTGGTTGTAATAATATTTGTAACAAAACAGGACCGTCGCCACCGATTATTGCAAATCAAGTTGTTTCAACTATTGTCTATAACAGATTGGGTTGTTGGAACAAATTGACACTCTACATCCCGTCAAATACGTTCACGTTTGTTACAAATGTTTTCCAAATGTTTTCAGTATTGTGATAATTTAAGGTTCTAACAAACTGGAACGCTACAAGTGCCACTTCGAGGTGTAACTTCAAGCTTTCTTCCTGCAAAACATTGAGAGGCCATCTGCACGTTTTCTAAAATAATTGTGGTATAGTTGCTAGTTTTGACACAACCACGTCAGCACAAGACGGTTAGTTATTTGATTTTCCAGAGAAATATACAAATCGCCCCGGTTAGGGTTCGAACTACATACTTCTCTTGAGGAATCAAGGTCCCATGCTTTACCGAATGAGCTATGACGGTCCAGAGTTTTGATAACTAGAATGAGGTCTAAAAGGTTTTTAAATTCTTAACTTCTTTTTCTTATTATTGTATTTTGATATAAGTAATATCTATGTCATTATCATGTTGTAGGCTACACACCAGATTTCCAATGCCGGAACTTGAGTAAGCCGTTGACTGAATATGGAATCGATCTCTCAAACAATCAAAGCTCTCACATCATCGAGTATAGCCAATGTCACATTACGATCAAGGAGGACGGAACAACTGAAAATCAGACAGAAATGTCATGTCCGAACGGGTACCAGTTCAGCACACAACAAAGTCGTTCAACCATTGTGACTGAGGTAGTTCTAGACGACAAGGTTCCTGTCTATTGCAACACAGTTAGAACATCCTCCTGTCCAACACAATTAAGTAAAGAGACATTCCTGTATAATGTAACTAAGTTAGTACACACTCCTGTCTAATGTAACTAAGTTAGAACAGATTTCTGTCTAATTGATAAACTTAGGGCAGACTCCTGTCTAATTGATAAACTTAGGGCAGACTCCTGTCTAATTGATAAACTTAGGGCAGACTCCTGTCTAATTGATAAACTTAGGGCAGACTCCTGTCTAATTGACTAACTTAGAACAGACTCCTGTCCAAAATAACTGAGGTATGACAGATTCCTCACCATTGTTATTTAGTTAGAGAAGACTACTGTCCGTTGTTAGTGAAGGAGAACAGGCTTCTGTCTATTGTCACTGAGGGAGATCGGACCCATTTGTTTTCTGTCTATTGTAAATGAGGTAGGGCAGACTTCTGTCTGTTATAACTGATCATCCATCGGGTAGAGCTGGCTAAATATACATTGTTACTGAGGTAGATCAGACTCCTTGTACCGAGGGAGAGAGATATTTGCCAAATGTCATCGAAGTGGGGCAGTCATGTCATTGTGACCTGGTTTTTGTATACAAATTGGGCCAGTCCCTCATTACGAAATGCCTGGATATAGCTCTAAGTTGGATTTAAATCATTTCCATGACTATATTTTAGTACTAAGAACAACCGGGAACTTTTGCTGTATATTAATGATTCAAGAATATCTCAAAACAAATAAGCATATTATTCATTCGATAAATCTTTCGATATAATTAATCTGTCGCTCCGTCTTGCTAGAAAAGCTGGCGAAACCACATTTCCATCTGTAGAAGACAATAAAATGAAAAACAAACACTATTTGTTACAGTGGGATCTTGTTTGCGATAACCAGGGTCTGGGTGAGCTGAGTCAGACGCTGGTCATGGTTGGACAAATCGTAGGGGCGATATTTCTCTCCCCACTACCCGATAGGTACGGCCGAAAACCCGTCATGATTGTTGGACAGGTTCTCGCCTTTGCATTGGGTGTCTCGGCGTCATTTAGTCCCACCTACGCCGTTTTCTGTGTCCTGCGATTTCTTGTCGGCGTTGTGATACAGGTATTGATAACCTTATCATGTCATTTCTTCCACTTTTTTTCAAATTGGCGCAGTTCTACTCATTATTTTGCAATATTATGCAAAGATTTAATCTTGCGCTTCTTCCCTACCTTGAATTGACCGGGGTATATATAATTGCGTCTGGCTACTCATCTACTCTTTGGCTGATGGACTTATTTAGCGAAAATGAGTTATTGCAGAGAGTAGTTCTCGTAAAATATATGTAGAGATTATGGCCCTTGAACTTTACAAACTTCAAGAAAATTATCAGTTTCCTCTCACATGCGCACAGCTTGATTGGGATAGTAAACTAAAACTGATAGTTGTATGATGGGAAGATGCAGGTGAAATTTATATTGTGTTGTTCCAGATTTTTTTCTTTAAAATAATTGGTGCCGTTTTACTTATTTAAAAAAAAACCCACTCAATTTACACCCAATTTCTCTGTGCCGGTTGGTGATGAACTGAAATTTGAGAATTAGTTGTAATGTTTGCTCTAAGTCAGCTGTTATTTAACTTTGGTTGTCATAGCTGAAGCAGTTTGAAGTCATGTCTGTGCAGAAATCTACAAATGCTGGCTTTCTACCCCGCAGTGTCTCAACACGACCACTCCAGTGATGTGTCTGGAACTGTTCCCTACCGAGTATCGGGGTTCTGCTGGAATCATTACTAACACCATGTGGTCGACGGCTGTGCTCTCTCTCACCTTATTTGGTTATTTCCTGAGGGACCTATCCTGGCGCCATATTCAGCTGGTTTCCGCTCTATCTTGTATTCTTGGTCTTTTCTCATTCTGGTAGGTAACATTTCCATAGAAAATATTTTTAAAAATTTGGGTACCATTTGTTTTGTTTTGCATAATTTCTTTTCGTGACAAATGTGCGTATATTCAACCTGTATCTTTTTCACGTTATCGTCGTTTATGATTCGACTGTTTAAAGACCAAAAATGTACACATTCCATGTTCCTTTGATTTTTTAAGAACTTACATTTCTTCCATTGTGCTCCATACTTCCCGCCTCTGGGGCCAGGATGCACCGTTTATGCAGAACTGATCCTCCTTCATCCAAGAATACTTCAGACTAAATTTGCAAAATCCTATCATTCCTAAAGGAGGAGAAATTTAAAGAATTTAATATATTTCCCCAATTGGGCCCCTTCCCTTCATCGCAAGGGACCGATACCTACTGCCAACACAAAACTGATTCCCCTTCTCCAAAGAATGCAGATAAGATTTAAGCAATATCCATTCATTCCTACAGGGATTGAATTTTAAAAAAATTAACTTGTTTCCCCCTAATGGTCCCATGCCCCTCCCTTACAAAGGACCGAGACACACCGCTTGCTCAAAACTGGTTTCCCTTCACCCAAGAATGCTTCAGATCAAATGTGGGCGATATCCATTCATTCCTACTAGAGTATAGAATTTACTCTATTTCCTCCATCGGACCCTATCCTCCTGCTCCAGAGACATGACTTTGATACGAGATTGATTTGCTTTTACCCAAAAATGCTTCAGACCGAATTTTGGCAATTTCTATTTATTCCGACAGGACAAGATTTTCAAGAATTTACTTTATTTCAATTATTTTGCCTCGCCCCTCCTACCCAATGGTGGCGAGACCTGATGCCTTTACAACATTGATTCCCATTCACCCAAGGATGCTCTTGACTTAGTCTGGTCTATATCTGTTCAGTCTTCCATGACTTAGTAGTGAGTTTTAGTAAAAACGTTGACGGACGTCGGACACACGACGGACGCCGCGCCATGTCATAAGCTAAACCGGTCCTTTGGACCAGGTGTTCTAAAAATCGACCCGGTTGATATTCAAAATTCGGACCAATTTGATATTACCGCCACAACCGCCATCTTTAATAAACTTGTTATCACTACTTCTTTGGAAAAATAAGACGTGTTGAGACAGAGCTTTCCCTGATTACATTTCGTTGATCCACGCATGAAGTTTGCCCAAACTTAAATAAGGATCCAATCCGCATTCAAGATGGCTACAATACCCACCATTTTGGCACAAAAATGCATATATTAAAACATACCTTCCACCAATGTTGTGCTTAGAAATACTGGAAATGGCAGCATAAGATAACAACAGCTGGGTTTTATAACAAACTATGGCTGTGCATATGCTCTTCCCTAGAAGTCGCCCACGTGCCTTAGCCATTCTTGTAAACTCTGTATTGCAACCGAATTGTGTTTTGTACAGGACTATGGACGAATCGCTGAGATGGCTGGTGGCCAACAACAGGAAAAGAGAAGCCATGGCACTAGTACGTAAGGTCGCCAGTCGGAACAATGTTCCTCCGGAAAAAGCTCTATACCTGCTAGAGAAAGTAATGGAGGGCTTCACCATCACCATCGAGCCGATTGGTCATAACAATGACCTAGAACTTACTGTGAATACACGAATGACGGATACAAATGATTATAATGACGTAAATCTGACAGAGGGCACGAGGAATGGTCACTGTCTCAAAAAGGAGACCGTAAACAAGAAAGTCACAGAAAATTCCTATACTCCTCAGATTTCTGCTGAGAGAGACGATTTGTTGATAGAACGCTCACACCAGGACAAGAAATCTCAATCTGAACATATCTCTTACTTGGATGTGTTCAGAAATGCAAAACTACTCCGCAATACAGTAATTCTGTGCTTGTGCTGGTGAGTCTCTTTCCGAAACTCCTCATATCAATGTTTCTGGGTTTTTTAATAGCTATCGTTTAATTGGAGTAAAAGTTTGTTTAAAAGTCGATTCAGTAACTTTCGTTAAAAAGTAGACGAAAGTAAAAAGTATTCGTTTCTGCAGACGTTGGATGAACTTGAGAGAAGTCGTTTCATAGGGCTTCTAATAAAGTCTATGGTATAATCAAATCATTTTCTTTCTCTTAAAGATTTCCCGTGATAATAAAACATCAGAAAAATCATGATTTTCCTGTTTAAGGTTTTGTCTGAAGATAAATCATGACATTCCTGTTTAAGGTTTTGTTAAATGATCAGCCATGATTTTCCTGTTTTTGTGTGATGATCATTATTTCCAGGTATAAGGTTGATGCGATAATAGAATAATGAATCAGGACTTTTGGCTGGTTCCAGGTTCTCCTCTGGTTTCGGATACATGGGACTGTTCCTGGTGCCTTCTTCATTCACAGATGACATCTATATAAATTATTTCATCAACGCTATCGTCGAGTTCCCAGGACTTTTCATCATGCTTTCATTAATCAACAGGTATAAACTGTTATTGTACCACCAGATATATATAACCTGATAATATTGGATATATGAATTGGTCAGTTATGTATATGAAACAGAAAACGTTTACTCTTCAAGAACACCTGGTTTTGTGGTTTTGAAGGGTTCTTCACGCAAACATTTTTTTGTTCATATTTTGCTTCTCGTTTCATACATTTTTAGTTTGATGTAAGATTTTGTAAACATGTTGGTATTTGGTTTCTTTTTTTTACATTACAAATGTTACCTTTATACTATAAAACATCCTTTTATTGAGCTGAAATGTCATGGTTTTCCAAATAAAAAACGGAAGTTTTTTTTATCAAACTCATGCCTGACAGTAGGTAGGGATGGAGGGAAGTTATCGCACATAAGACTGAAAGGAGTGCCAATTTGGGCCTTCTGGTGGCCATGACGAATACTTTTTATTTTTTGTCTATTAAAAACTTGAGGTCAGACGGTAATAACATGACATTAATCTAAGGTCAGCTCATGGCCGTTCAGTTGTTATAGGGGGATAAGTGGGGGATCAAATTCATAATTATTGCAATAATTATCAAAGTCCACGTCATTACCGTCTGACCTCAATTTTTTAATAGACAAAAAATAAAAAGTATTCGTCATGGCCACCAGAAGGCCCAAATTGGCACTCCTCCTTTGTCGGTGATCTTAGACGCCTTTTCAGGGTTATAGGGGTCAAGGTCATCATGAATATGCTGACACTTGACAGTGTGTGGAATGAGAATTGTTGCGCCAACTTTTTACAAAGTGTATCGATATATCATCCAACACTATGAGTATCAACAAATAATTAAAAGAGACGAAGATTTAGTGACGAGGACAGGTTCAACAATATCACCTTTATCGAACTCAAGAACACAAAGCTGCAAAACGTGTAAACAATAAATATGAATTAATTGTCTCATGCACTTTTGTACTGTATTTTTTGTTAAGCTCATATCCACTTATTGCATTTTGAATTATACAAATACATTGAAATAATATTCGTATGTAGTTTGAGCATTCCATCAAAAATGTCAACCACATAGTATCTGTATATCTTTATATGTTAAGATGGAAACTTTTGGGGAGTTTGATTTTACGTTAGGTAGAGGATGACTCGGAATGAAAATGAAAGCATTGAAAATAAGGTAGATAAATCATGATTTTGGTAAAAATAGCGAATGATGTACATACTTACATACTTGAAACCGATGACTTAATGATCATTATCACAAATCTTTGTCATGTTATATTCTCAGAATTGGGAGGAAGTGGCTGACCATGGCATACTTTGGACTAGCTGGCGTTTCGATAGTAGCAGCCGTCAGCATATTACTGCTAACTTCAAGTACGATTTAGACAAATAAATCAACAACGAAATTAACAGTGAAATCAACAATGAAATCATTAACGAAACACTAAAATGACCAATTGATGATGCAAAATGCAATGAAATTGTTCAGAATTGATAGTTAACATATTAAATTAACATCTTCTGTTTATAAACAGCCAATTAATTTCGATTTCTGTGACAGGGCATCACGAGACCACCGATATCATAGGAGCTGTTGCGATCTACCTTGGCAAATTTTTCATATATGGTGTTGTGGCTATGCTGTATATATACACACCGGAGCTGTATCCGACCAACGTCAGGTATTTTTATATAGCTTTGGTTTTACATGGCTTAACGCCAAAAAGTTGTTGACATAAAACGTTTCAATATTATCTTTGATCTCAATGAATGTCACACTTTGTTCTGTATTCTAATTTTCGAGACATGTTAAGTAATATGTCGTCATCGTCACTTTTTCCAACGTCTTACACTTTGTCACCTAGATGCAATTCATATACTCTAAGAAGTCCAATAACCTGCATGTTGACATCATATACATTTAAAATTTTGATGTTGGCAACAACCATAAATTTTGGGAAATAAAAGTTTTTATCTTTTAGATTTTACATGAAAAATTTAATAAGTCTTAATCATAAAATGATCGAGACTCCTTTAATTACGAGAGACCATTGTTGATACATACCATAGGGACTAGGCACGAATGATACATGAAGACAGTAGACCCTCGATAGTCAGAATGCCGATAGTCCGGAAAACATGCAAGCCGGACGGAAACGTTCGAGAACGCATTTCTGAAACGTTAATTGTTTACATCAGTCCGGAAATTCGAATTCCGGCTCCGGAAATACGTTTTGAGAATGGAATAGTCCTTTTCTTAGGCTGCATTTTCTTAACCCAGTTGAAACGGAATTATTCCACTATAGGCTATCGCACAGTTTCGGATTTTCCTGTCAAGCATAAATAAATTAACTAAAATTAAGATGCCATCCATTTCACTCATACATTATAGTGTTCCAGGGAATATGTGAGTTATCCTATCCTTCTTTTTAAGCTGAAATTCTGAAAACTAATGATATTCATAAAATTAATTTCGGACAGGAATGGATGGACTCCTAAAACTGCAAGTGCCAAATATCTTAACCTGGCGTTTTTCTTGTAGGTTCATTCTGTCCAACCATTTCAACTGCTTGCTTATCTATTTATCTAACGGGTTTTACGTCCACTATTTCGGCCTTTCGACCATTCAGCGGACGAGAAAAGATGGGAAAATAGGAAAAATAGAAAGTGATGGGAGAGAGTGGTATACAGAGATGAGGGAGAGAGAACCGTCTATGTTATTTGACATTATCTAAAACTATAATTTAGAAGGCGACCCCTTGGCCTGATTGTAGACCAAGCCAAACAGTAAGCACGACGCTAAGAGGACCGGTAGCAGGACTGAGAGAAACAGGAAGGGGGTACTACACTATGTAAATTCCATTATGTTGATAGTATTTTGGAAGTCCGTCAAACTTACTTAATAAATAATCCCTAATGCTAACCTAATCCTAACTTCTTAGCCAACGTTATCACACTTGTTCATTTCCGAAAAGCCACAGAGGGGTCTTTATTGTGCGAGTAGGACATTCTCAAACGAGCCACCACTTTAAGTCCCATCCGACGGACTGCAGGTTAATGGTTAGGTGTTAGTATGGTATTTGTGGTAATCTGTTTTTCGGTGTCCATGCGAGGGTAATTCTTTTTTTCATTTTAATCTGTCACTCTATGTACCGTTCCCTTGTTCAATGTCTATACTTTTTCTGTAATCCATATTGTTCCTTTCGTCATGTAGCTGTTAACTTCCCGACGTTTGTAAGATTATATTCAGTGATTGTGATGTTAGTTTTGGGAGAGGTTAATGAAAGATTCAACAACTTAGGCGAAAGCGCCTTTGGTAATTATACCCCGATAATCCAAAGTTTTGTCGTTTTGAGTTTTGATTGAAAGTCAACTTTCATTGTTAACACTGTGTGACGTCATAACTTCCCCGTATCATCTTTATTAATAAATTACGTCACAAACCAAATGATATAATTATGAATATTGATTCTCGTGACATTGTTATATGTTAATTTCTGGATCTGTTTAGTGTCAATATATGTTATATTCACTTTCTCTATGGAATTGCCCTCCGCCATCTTGAACATTTAATATGATTTAAATAATTATGTATCATTGCTACCTATATGCTGTTATTGCATTTGGAAATAAAACAATTCATCGAGACCACTGCCTGGTCATCGGCTCGGGCGTTTACCTGAATAGGGCGTGTCAGTTTTAAACACTATGTGTTTGTGACAGTTTGTGGTAGTACAACTGTAACTACGGTAAACGCTGCCGAATATACACATCGTAAAGAGTAGCCTTATTTTGTAGCTAAGTAATTCGATATCTTTGCATAACAACTTAAATTTTATATATATAAACATTATTGGTCTGTATTTCTCATACTATCATGATAAAAGTAGTCAGGAAATAAAAAAAATTACTTATAAGGAAATTTACTAACGCCCGGCACATGGTCTATCCGACTTTTGCATGTTAAAGATAGTTAACACGGCATTAGTAATTTCCGTGCTATCAGATTTATACCTTGAATGGAGCAGAATGTATTTAAAACTGACTTTTGGCTTGGAGTTATCACAGAGAACATGGCATGACAATATCATTTTAATTCGTGAACTGTCGTTACATTAATTATTTCAACAAACTTTATGTAACGTAAAGAAAGAATGATCACAAAGATAGCTTGGGTAGATCCCTATGTCGTAGCTATATTGTACAAAGGGCGATATTAATATTTTAAATGGATTCGTTTAGAAAGACAGGAAATAAATTTGTGAACAGTTTTTATTATTATCCTATCGGAATTGAGGGGCAGATCTAGATCGACTGGTGTCATGCGGTTGTTGTAACCGACTGTATTCTTTAATTTTACATAATACATGTATTGTAATTAAAAAATGCACATTAATAACGCATTTTAAACACCATTATCTGCAATCAGTGCTATGTGAACATAAATACTCCTGAGAATTAATTGCAGTGTTCAGTACATTTTTGTACCAATTTACCTCGACAAGTTGAATGAATTCGGCAGTCTGGAAAACTCGTAATCCGGACGATTTTGGCCAGGAACGGTGTCCGGATTATCGAGGGTCCACTTTATGTATTATATTGACACTATAATATCGAGCCAAATCTCTGTGACACATACCTTTTAAAGATATTATTAGCCAAGCCTTCTTCACCGGGGGATGACCATCTGAAGGCCAAAGTGAGACAATGTGTGGAGAGAAAGAATAAACAGCTTTATTTAAGATATAACGACACAAACAATGCACTTTCTGAAAATACTTGACGTCTTAATGAGGCCATATCTCCTTGTAGTTACTGATGGCTACCTCACTGACCAACATGTGACAGTACGGTCCATATATTGACATAGTTGTCTCATTTCTTAAGAAATGCTTCTTTTTGTTCAATTACAGAAATATTGGTTATGGTGTAACCGGGTGTGCAGCACGGCTTGGTTCCATGGCGGCACCGTTTTTAAGCGTTTTAGTAAGTAAACGAATAGGTGCAGAGAGCTTGTCTAGATATCATAAATAATGTTTCTAACCAGATGGATGCAATTTAGAAATCAAACTCTATGCTAGTATCAGCTGAACATGGACATTGTCAATACATAAACTGTAATGTTCTATTGTTGAACATGTACATTTAAACGGGACTATGTTGTCTAATTACAGTCAATTTTGAATTTACCATTTCCAGAATTTCCACGTGTTCAAGATGGGCAGAGTAGCTGTATGGTGTACATGTGGTTTTATTCATTATGTAGAGCTAGTTCTAAATTTGTAATAAAATGTGTCATTCACCTTTTTTGTCTTTTGTGCAATCCTGCATTAAGTGTCTCCTGGTTCTGCTAATTTTGTAGAAATTGGGGTATGTAGGCTCCCAGTACTAACAAGTCCAGAAAGGAGGAAACAACTGTATGCAGTTTCTTGGGACACATGAGACAATATATAGTTACTTATTGCAATGTTCTTTTGTCTGATTGTGTTTCGTAAATAATTGATATTTTGACTTAACCTAGGGTAATGAAATTCCCAATTGTTGTAAAGCAAAATCCTGAACCAATTTAATTGAAATTTTGCATAAACCTTCCATGGTCAAAGCTGAAACAAAGGTGTGATTTATGTGGTCCTCATACAATAGGGTTTTAATTTCAAAAGGAAATATTTCAGGTTTGGTTTGATAGACCTACTGATCCTGGCTGACCCACAGAGTCTGATGGACTGGCCCAAAAGGGGTCAAATTGACTCGAATTTCAAAAACAATCTCCTAAACTCCTAGATAAGGAGTAGATAGTCCTATAATTTAAGGATTTTGCTTTACAACAATTGTGAAATTCATTACCCTTGGTTCTCACATTTCCCTTTAGGGAGGGGGTAAAGTTTGCTCTAGTTTATATTGAAAAAAAAAATTGAGTGTAATTCCGCTTAATTCAAATATGGCTTGAGTCCATAAATCTAGTACTTACGTGAACATAAAGGCCTTTATACCTCCTGTCATTATAATTGACTCCCCTGTGTCTTATTGTATTGAAAGTTGTCCACTTGTGTTTCTTTTATTCAATCTTTTTAAGTAGAGTTTGTATGTAAGTGAAAACTTAATGTAATCTAGTATGAAGTAACATTGTTTTCCTATCTTTGTCTGCAGGCATCCTCAGCAGAGTGGGCCCCGGGTGTCGCCTTAAGTGCCACATTTATTCTAGCCTTGTGTTCTCTACTACTTCTACCAGAAACCAAGGGGAAAGAACTCCCACAGACTTTAAAGGAGTTTGTATCATGGGAAACTGAAGAAAAGGGTTCAAAATTGTGTAAATCATGTGTATGTATACAATGATGACATTAGGATGGTAAAACCATCATTCAAAAATTATGGTTATGTCACGCATAATTTTATTGGATAATTTCCATGACCTAATCCTCGATATATCTATGATTTCTGACGCTAGCCTAAAGATGGCAGCCATCTGGAAAGAGGCAGATGATCGACACAAGAGAAATTTATTACAATGACATGCTAAAATGCGTCATCATAATGTGAAGTGGAATGTACGATGGTGAAAATGTTTGTTTCATGTTCCAATGAACTTTTCTCTGCTTCAAATGAGTTTGTTGGTAATGTCCGAATTTCGATCAAGAGAATACACTGTAATCTATTGACAGAACACTGCAATCTGAAAACATTACACAGAACAGTAAGCCATATTCTCAATCCAGGGATCAACAAATATCGCAATTAAATAAAATTGTGTCACATGGTATCATATTGTCTCCTACCTTTACTGGATAATGATATCGAGAATTGAGACATAAATCCCAATCTCCATTTGAAAGAAATGCACCAACAACTTTGGATGAGTCTTCCGTCATGATCTCTTGTCAAAGCATCTCCACGATATCAGTAGTTTTATTGATCTACAGTAGTGAATAGATACATTTATCATTCAGAGACAGACATGATGTAATTTCAGGTATATACATCAGGAATCAACATAAACAACAATTTAGACAGACAACCTATGTAGAAAAACATTTCAATTTCTCCATACTCCTCCACCTACATGACTGGAAAGTGGGCGGAGCTTCTTCGTCATCAGTGAGCATTTTGATTGGCTAAGATAATGTGAAGGACTGTTTTGAACAAAATTGTGTAGGTCTTGGTTTTTGTTGAACTTTGTTCATATTGTGATAAATACAATGTTTTTATACTGAAATTATTTTAGAATGGGCATGGTATGCTTGTTTTTATGCATATGCCAGAGACAGGAATAATGTATATTGTCCTTTTAACAGAAAACATAAACAAAATGTATGATCTAATCTCCAGTATATGTATAAGAACAGGCATACTATCCCCTGTATATTTATATAATGACCTATGTGATAAAGAACATTTATAGAAAGAAATTTTTTAGAAATTATTTATAAGCAAATGCTGGTTTCATTTGTGAAATTTCTTTTTAACTGTTACAAATATATATTATGCACAAAAATTGCACACTGTGTATTATATGCTACACTGTACATTAACATAATGAATAAAACTGAAGTTTTTATTTTTGTTTTTATTTACTTCAATAAATTGTTATTTTCTATGATTCATCGCTAACACATTTGGAGCATCACTAATCCTGACCAATACAAATGGTCAAAACATGATTACATCCACATAAATCTTTTAGTTCTGAAAAAAAATCATCAGCATCATTCATCATCACATTATTCTTTGTGTTGAACAAATATGTTAAAGCACCTGACATTTGGTTAACAGTAATCTCCTTCCCCATCCAAGTTAAAACACGATTGGAAGGAGACAATTGGGACAGACAATGATGATTAATGATATATCACATCTTCTCATGCCTCAATGATGTATGTATGATATACATGTAAAATATGAGTACTCAAGCTACCTAAACTTAGCCAACAATGATGCACTCACTGACCTTTCATATTATGAAGTCACTTAACAAATGGTGACTCTAAACATCACTGTTCAATGACATAATTTCACAACTTTATATTATAAAGATATTGGTGGTTTATATAGCCACTTTTATCTATAACAGAAATATATATACTGGTTAATGGTTCATATTAACCAGAAACATACATATGGATTCACAGACAGGAGTGACATAGTATTAACAAATTATCTATATACTTTAAACATCAGTCGTCATCATTTTGTGTCCAATCATATGGTTTCCACCACTCAGAAAACTGCAGAACTTTCTTCCTCTGATCATCAAAGTTTTCCTTCTGGTTTTTTCTCCATATCCTTGGTTCCACATCCAACATTCCACCAATGATTTCCTGAGGTTAGATCAGGAAGTGTTATAAAACATGACAAATATTTATAAAAAAGTACTTCACAAGAGTATCAGCTACATCACAAGGGTATCAGCTACATCACAAGGGTATCAGCTACACCATAGGAGTGTCAGCTACATCACAAAGGTATCAGCTACACCATAGGAGTGCAAGCTACATCACAAGGGTATCAGCTACACCATAGGAGTATCAACTACACCTTAGGAGTATCAGCTACACCATAGGAGTATCAGCTACACCATAGATGTATCAGCTACACCATAGGAGTGTCAGCTACACCATAGGAGTATCAGCTAAACCTTAGGAGTATCAGCTACACCATAGGAGTGTCAGCTACATCACAATAGTATCAGCAACACCATAGGAGTATCAGCTATACCATAGGAGTATCAGCTACACCATAGGAGTGTCAGCTACATGACAAGGGTATCAGATACACCATAGGTGTATCAGCTACACCATAGGAGTGTCAGCTACATCACAAGGGTATCAGATACACCATAGGAGTGTCAGCTACACCATAGGAGTGTCAGCTACATGACAAGGGTATCAGCTACACCATAGGAGTGTCAGCTACATCACAAGGGTATCAGCTACACCATAGGAGTGTCAGCTACATCACAAGGGTATCAGATACACCATAGGAGTGTCAGCTACATCACAAAGGTATCAGCTACACCATAGGAGTGTAAGCTACATCACAAGGGTATCAGCTACACCATAGGAGTATCAACTACACCTTAGGAGTATCAGCTACACCATAGGAGTATCAGCTACACCATAGATGTATCAGCTACACCATAGGAGTGTCAGCTACACCATAGGAGTATCAGCTAAACCTTAGGAGTATCAGCTACACCATAGGAGTGTCAGCTACATCACAAGGGTATCAGATACACCATAGGTGTATCAGCTACACCATAGGAGTGTCAGCTACATCACAAGGGTATCAGATACACCATAGGAGTGTCAGCTACACCATAGGAGTGTCAGCTACATCACAAGGGTACCAGCTACACCATAGGAGTGTCAGCTACATCACAAGGGTATCAGCTACACCATAGGAGTATCAGCTACACCTTAGGAGTATCAGCTACACCATAGGAGTATCAGCTACACCATAGGAGTGTCAGCTACACCATAGGAGTATCAGCTAAACCTTAGGAGTATCAGCTACACCATAGGAGTGTCAGCTACATCACAATAGTATCAGCTACACCATAGGAGTATCAGCTATACCATAGGAGTATCAGCTACACCATAGGAGTGTCAGCTACACCATAGGAGTATCAGCTACACCATAGGAGTGTCAGCTACATCACAATAGTATCAGATACACCATAGGTGTATCAGCTACACCATAGGAGTGTCAGCTACACCATAGGAGTATCAGCTATACCATAGGTGTATCAGCTACACCATAGGAGTGTCAGCTACACCATAGGAGTGTCAGCTACACCTTAGGAGTATCAGCTACACCATAGGAGTGTCAGCTACACCATAGGAGTGTCAGCTACACCATAGGAGTGTCAGCTACATCACAATGGTATCAGATACACCATAGGTGTATCAGCTACACCATAGGAGTATCAGCTACACCATAAGAGTGTCAGCTACATCACAATAGTATCAGATACACCATAGGTGTATCAGCTACACCATAGGAGTGTCCGCACACCATAGGAGTGTCAGCTACATCACAAGGGTATCAGATACACCATAGGTGTATCAGCTACACCATAGGAGTGTCAGCTACACCATAGGAGTGTCAGTTATACCATAGGAGTATCAGCTACACCATAGGAGTGTCAGCTACCTCACAAGGAGTATCAGCTACATCATGGGAGTGTCAGCTACACCATAGATGTATCAGCTACACCATAGGAGTGTCAGCTACATCACAAGGAGTATCAGCTACATCATGGGAGTGTCAGCTACACCATAGATGTATCAGCTACACCATAGATGTATCAGCTACACCATAGGAGTGTCAGCTACCTCACAAGGAGTATCAGCTACATCATGGGAGTGTCAGCTACACCATAGATGTATCAGCTACACCATAGGAGTGTCAGCTACACCATAGGAGTATCAGCTACACCTTAGGAGTATCAGCTACACCATAGGAGTATCAGCTACACCATAGGAGTATCAGCTACACCATAGGAGTATCAGCTAAACCTTAGGAGTATCAGCTACACCATAGGAGTGTCAGCTACATCACAATAGTATCAGCTACACCATAGGAGTATCAGCTATACCATAGGAGTATCAGCTACACCATAGGAGTGTCAGCTACATCACAAGGGTATCAGATACACCATAGGTGTATCAGCTACACCATAGGAGTGTCAGCTACACCATAATAGTATCAGCTACACCATAGGAGTACCAGCTACACCATAGGAGTATCAGCTACACCATAATAGTATCAGCTACACCATAGGAGTATCAACTACACCTTAGGAGTATCAGCTACACCATAGGAGTATCAGCTACACCATAGATGTATCAGCTACACCATAGGAGTGTCAGCTACACCATAGGAGTATCAGCTACACCTTAGGAGTATCAGCTACACCATAGGAGTATCAGCTACACCATAGGAGTATCAGTTACACCATAGGAGTATCAGCTAAACCTTAGGAGTATCAGCTACACCATAGGAGTGTCAGCTACATCACAATAGTATCAGCTACACCATAGGAGTATCAGCTATACCATAGGAGTATCAGCTACACCATAGGAGTGTCAGCTACATCACAAGGGTATCAGATACACCATAGGTGTATCAGCTACACCATAGGAGTGTCAGCTACACCATAATAGTATCAGCTACACCATAGGAGTACCAGCTACACCATAGGAGTATCAGCTACACCATAATAGTATCAGCTACACCATAGGAGTACCAGCTACACCATAGGAGTATCAGCTACACTATAGGAGTACCAGCTACACCATAGGAGTATCAGCTACACCATAGGAGTGTCAGCTATACCATAGGAGTATCAGCTACACCATAGGAGTATCAGCTACACCTTAGGAGTATCAGCTACACCACACCATAGCTACACCACAGGAGTCTCAGCTAAACTACAAGAGTTCAGCTACACTACAATACTATAAGCTACACCACAGGGGTACCATGTACATAATGAGGTATCGTCTACGTCATTGGGGTATCGGATACACCACATAAGGATCAGCTACATCACAGTAGAATCAGGTACGTGGTAAAGAATGCTATAACATGGAATATTACTGGTGCCTTGAAGTCAGGTGACTAAACACAAAATAGTGTTTTGTTACATTGAACTCTCATACTTACTTTCCCAAAATACTTTGGAAAAACATTCTCATCTTCAATAACATGAGCAAATCCTCCTTGTAGGCCGAAGTCCACACTAAAGAATGGGAATCCCTTTGGTATCTGTAATGAAAACAAATATGTGATCTTACTGATTCACCTATCATACTTATTGATAAAAATGTGTCATTTTACTGAAACCACCTGTCCAACTATCATATCCATTGATGAAAATGTGTGATTTTACTGAAACCACCTGTCCAACTATCATACTTATTGATAAAAATGTGTCATTTTACTGAAACCACCTGTCCAACTATCATACTTATTGATAAAAATGTGTGATTTTACTGAAACCACCTGTCATACTTATTGATAAAAATGTGTGATTTTACTGAAACCACCTGTCCGACTATGATATCCATTGATAAAAACGTGTAAACTTATGTTACAAATTGTTCTTTCAATCATACCCATAAACGCAAATGTGTGTTCTTACTTATATATATGTTCCTCAAATCATATTCATCAACACAACTGTTTCTTTGTTGATACAAATTAAATTTTCCATCATTCATATCTATCGATAAAAATGTAAATTCTCCTGGACATAAACTTTCAACAAACTCTTCGATTTTCACTACAGGTTTTGTTAAAATATTTTCTATAATCTGATATTACATATGATTTATATGTTCATATGTTGCTCAGGTAGTACAAATCTTTACAGATAGAAGAGAATTTTAGAAGTTACAATTCTGTCTAAATCTAGTTGTTGATTTATACAGAACATACTTACAGCCCTTCTGATGTTCTTCTGGCTCAGATCTACGACCTTTATGTTCTGTGACCATTCTGTCTCTGATTCCTGAATCGCTTTCTGAAAATTGATCCAACATTCATTTTCACATTTTTTTCAGAGATGAAGTATGATATATGTCACAAATACAAATCTACAAGCCAACAAACCATTCCTAAAACAATAAAAAAGAGAGAAATAAGGATTTTCAGGACAGATATATTGTGTCTACTGTTAAAAACAGGGGAAATCTGTTGTCTAAATAAGGTGGTTTCCAAATTAGTTGATGTGTTTCACACAGGCAGAGAAAAAAAGGCTTAGAAATATTTCCTTTTAGTAATGCACTATACACATATCTATACCTATATCAGTCTTTCTCCATTTGCCAGTTCAACATTAACCATGCAATACATACCTTGAAATAAATAGGTGCTAGATCACCTGTCTCCCTCGGCATGGGTACACACTCTAGGTGCATGTGAGGGAAATACTTCAGTCCCATACTTGTTTCCATGAATACCACATCCATGTCCATGTTTTCAAACAACTTAGTCAAAGTCTTTCTGAACAGCTACATCAAGAGAAAAACCAACATTTAAAACTCTGATCAAGGTTGTTCACTAAAAGGTCAAGGTCACAGTCACCAAAGGTAACTTCAAGGTCATAAACATTAAAATTAAACTCTTTCCAAAACATTAACAATGGTAATAATAAGACCTTGGTTTAAGTCAGGAACCATTAAAGACCAATCACAAATGCTGAAGGACAGATGTAACACAACACAAAAAAAAAAAAAAAACAAAAAAAGGAACCCCAAAATAAATTACATGATTCTTGTGTTCATAAGGATTGGCATCTGTCCAACAAAGGTCAATACCCTTTCCTCTTACCTGTACTTCATTCCAAACATCCTCATCCATGGCTGTACTAGAGGTTACATGCTGCATAGGGACTACCAAACAGTGGCCTTCAGTCAAGGAGCGATGGTTAGGCATACACAGATATACCTACAAAACATATACTAAGTGTAAACCACCAGACAGTGGCCTTCTGTCAAGGAGCGATGGTTAGGCATACACAGATATATCTACAAAATATATACTAGGTTTAAACCACTAAACAGAGGCCTTCAGTCAATGAGCGATGGTTAGGCATACACAGATATATCTACAAAATATACTTAGTGTAAACCAACCAGACAGTGGCCTTCAGTCAAGGAGCGATGGTTAGGCATACACAGATATACCTACAAAACATATACTTCGTGTAAACCACCAAACAGAGGCCTTCTGTCAAGGAGCGATGATTAGGCATACACAGATATATCTACAAAATATACTTAGTGTAAACCACCAAACAGAGGCCTTCTGTCAAGGAGCGATGGTTAGGCATACACAGATATATCTACAAAACATATACATAGTGTAAACCACCAAACAGAGGCCTTCTGTCAGGGAGCGATGGTTAGGCATACACAGATATATCTACAAAACATATACATAGTGTAAACCACCAAACAGAGGCCTTCTGTCAGGGAGCGATGGTTAGGCATACACAGATATATCTACAAAATATACTTAGTGTAAACCAACCAGACAGTCACCTTCAGTCAAGGGGCGATGGTTAGGCATACACAGATATATCTACAAAATATACTTAGTGTAAACCAACCAAACAGAGGCCTTCTGTCAAGGAGCGATGGTAAGGCATACACAGATATATCTACAAAATATACTTAGTGTAAACCACCAAACAGAGGCCTTCTGTCAAGGAGCGATGGTTAGGCATACACAGATATATCTACAAAACATATACATAGTGTAAACCACCAAACAGAGGCCTTCTGTCAGGGAGCGATGGTTAGGCATACACAGATATATCTACAAAACATATACATAGTGTAAACCACCAAACAGAGGCCTTCTGTCAGGGAGCGATGGTTAGGCATACACAGATATATCTACAAAACATATACTTAGTGTAAACCAACCAGACAGTCACCTTCAGTCAAGGGGCGATGGTTAGGCATACACAGATATACCTACAAAATATATACTTAGTGTAAACCACCAAACAGAGGCCTTCTATCAGGGAACGATAGTTAGACATACACAATCAGATGTACATCCAAAAGATATAGTTAAGTACGGTATTATTTTTTTCTAAGTTTTCAATACAATTCAATGATAATACCTCTTACCTAACAAAGTTGGATTATTTAAGAATCTATGTCACAAAACACCCTCAAGTGACATACCATTTTGATAAAGAAAGAAAAAAACGATGAGTTAAATTCACATATTTCATAACTTAAGTACATCTGTAGACTTAATACCTATATTAAGTGCTTAGGTAGTATGTCTGTATGATTGTTTGAAACTGAGACTCTATAATAGTTCTTTAAAAATTCATAGATGCACAGAGCATCATTACCTTTTTTCCAATTGCAATAATTAGGTGTTTTGGGACACTGCCAAAACAAAATTCACATCTTTCCATAGCAGCAGCCATTTTTCTATGCTCTGTAAAATAAAACAAAGATTAAATTCTATCATCTCTGAGTAACATCAACTAAATTATAACACATGAATATTTCAGAATTTTTAATCGTCGTCTTTTGCTGATGATTACTAACAAGATGTAGTAAAACTTAAGTGGCAGTTCCTTTACCTCCAATAGCTAAAGTCCGTTCCCTTTCTTCTGTACGTGAGTCTGACTGCTTCTTTGAAGCTCTTGACATGAACATGTCATCCAGTTGGTATTCATCATCTGTCTTCTCAACAGCCTGAAGATAATGGAAAAGAAAACGAATAACACAGCCTACAGATAACATAGTAACGTAGCCCAAAGAAAATGGAAAATACAGCCTACAGATAACATAGTAACGTAGCCCAAAGAAAACGAATAACACAACCTACAGATAAAATAGTAACGGAGCCCAAAGAAAATGGAAAATACAGCCTACAGATAAATAGTAATGTAGCCCAAAGAAAATGGAAAATAAAGCCTACAGATAACATAGTAACAGAGCCCAAAGAAAATGGAAAATACAGCCTACAGATAACATAGTAACATAGCCCAAAGAAAATGGAAAATAAAGCCTACAGATAACATAGTAACAGAGCCCAAAGAAAATGGAAAATACAGCCTACAGATAACATAGTAACAGAGCCCAAAGAAAATGGAAAATAAAGCCTACAGATAACATAGTAACAGAGCCCAAAGAAAATGGAAAATAAAGCCTACAGATAACATAGTAACATAGCCCAAAGAAAATGGAAAATACAGCCTACAGATAACATAGTAACATAGCCCAAAGAAAATGGAAAATACAGCCTACAAATAACATAGTAACAGAGCCAAAAGAAAATGGAAAATACAGCCTACAGATAACATAGTAACAGAGCTCAAATAAAATGGAAAATACAGCCTACAGATAACATAGTAACGTAGCCCAAAGAAAACGAATAACACAACCTACAGATAAAATAGTAACGTAGTCCAAAGAAAATGGAAAATAAAGCCTACAGATAACATAGTAACAGAGCCCAAAGAGAATGGAAAATACAGCCTACAGATAACATAGTAACGTAGCCCAAAGAAAATGGAAAATACAGCCTACAGATAACATAGTAACATAGCCCAAAGAAAATGGAAAGTACAGCCTACAGATAAATAGTAATGTAGTCCAAAGAAAATGGAAAATACAGCCTACAGATAACATAGTAACATAGCCCAAAGAAAATGGAAAATAAAGCCTACAGATAACATAGTAACGTATCCCAAAGAAAACGAATAACACAACCTACAGATAAAATAGTAACGTAGTCCAAAGAAAATGGAAAATACAGCCTACAGATAAATAGTAATGTAGCCCAAAGAAAATGGAAAATACAGCCTACAGATAACATAGTAACAAAGCCCAAAGAAAATGGAAAATAAAGCCTACAGATAACATAGTAACAGAGCCCAAAGAAAATGGAAAATAAAGCCTACAGATAACATAGTAACAGAGCCCAAAGAAAATGGAAAATACAGCCTACAGATAAAATAGTAACGTAGCCCACAGAAAATGGAAAATACAGCCTACAGATAACATAGTAACATAGCCCAAAGAAAATGGAAAATACAGTCTACAGATAACATAGTAACATAGCCCAAAGAAAATGGAAAATACAGCCTACAGATAACATAGTAACATAGCCCAAAGAAAATGGAAAATACAGCCTACAGATAACATAGTAACAGAGCCCAAAGAAAATGGAAAATACAGCCTACAGATAACATAGTAACATAGCCCAAATGAAATGGAAAATACAGCCTACAAATAACATAGTAACACACGGGTAATAGAATAAGAAGGCCTTAAGAAAATGAATAACATAGCATACAGATAACATAGCCTAAAGAAAATAGTTTACAGGTATCTGATAAAACAGACTAACACAACCTACAAGCAACAGGCCAAATGGGCCTGCAGTACTCACTTCATGTTTATATATACTAGCCAAATATCATGCCTCTAGGCCTTTTATTTAAGGGGAGGAGGTGTTGAATGTTTTAACAAATTTGATTTCTGTGACAATGAATATAAGTCAAAGTCCTTTTTTTTGCAAACTTTGTTGGGCTTTATCTTAGGAATATACTAGTCAAGTATCATGCACCTAGGCCTTTTAATTCATGAGGAGAACTTTAAAGGTTTTAACAAATCTGACCCCTGTGACCTTGAATATCAGTTAAGGTTATTTATTTTTGCAAACCTTGTCAGGATTTATCCTAGAAACATACTCGCCAAATATGCCTCTTGACCTTTAAGTCCATGAGACAAAGTTGTTTAAATGTTTTAACAAATTTGATAACTGTGACCATGAATATTAGTCCCCCCCCCCCCCCAAGCTCACTTCGGGCCAGGTGAGATAATAATATATAACAAAACCTACATGTAACACTAAACGCAGCCTACAGATAACACATAATACATGTATAGCCTGCAGGTAACATATGACACAACCTTTGAAGATTTAATGAAAATTTGAAGCATTTCTCCTGAAAACATGGCATGGAAAAGCTTTAGCACATTGTAACACAAAAAAAAAACAAGTTTCAACTTATTAGAAGTTTCAATGTCACAGATGTTGTAAACACAATGACTGACGATGACAAGGATGGTTACATTCACCAGTATACCTTCATGGTCTTGACAAAAGTTTACACTGTAGAACTGTTGCTTATTGAAGATTAATGACTCATCATAAACAGTCAATACATATGTAAAGTAAGCAGGGACTCACATAAGTATACCCTCTACTCCCTGACCTTGTTACATTTAACCAGGGGCTCACAAAAGTATACCCTCTACTCCCTGATCTTGTTATATTTAAGCAGGTGCTCACAAAAGTATACCCTCTATTCTCTGACCTTGTTATATTTAAGCAGGGGCTCACAAAAGTATACCCTCTACTCCCTGACCTTGTTACATTTAACCAGGGGCTCACAAAAGTATACCCTCTACTCCCTGATCTTGTTATATTTAAGCAGGTGCTCACAAAAGTATACCCTCTATTCTCTGACCTTGTTATATTTAAGCAGGGGCTCACAAAAGTATACCCTCTACTCCCTGATCTTGTTATATTTAAGCAGGGGCTCACAAAAGTATACCCTCTACTCCCTGACCTTGTTATATTTAAGCAGGGGCTCACAAAAGTATACCCTCTACTCCCTGACCTTGTTACATTTAAGCAGGGGCTCACAAAAGTATACCCTCTACTCCCTGACCTTGTTACATTTAAGCAGGGGCTCACAAAAGTATACCCTCTACTCCCTGACCTTTTTATATTTAAGCAGGGGCTCACATAAGTATACCCTCTACTCCCTGATCTTTTTATATTTAACTAAATCTGTTGAGGTGTACATGAGATATTTCTATTCTTGTACAAAAGGTTTTATTTTGAAAATGGGTAAAGAGTTACATTTGACTTTTAACCTTGATCAATGATCACCAAAATCTAAACATGTGTACAGCCTAACGGTCTGATGTTACAGTGTGGATATGAATTTAATCTTTCAAGGGTTTTATCAGATATTGTGTTCACATGCTTTTTATAAAAAGTGGTTAAAGGTTACTTTGACCTTGATTGATGACCTCTAAAAGTCTAATGAGGTGAAGAATTAATATGAACTAAATGTGTTCAGAGGTTCACAAGATGTATTGTTCTCAAACATTGTATGCATAGACTAATAAAAGGCACACAGACAAAGTTATAATCTGATACATCCAACCTTATTAAGTAAAGTAGGGGCATAGTAAAACCAAAATTCTTGCCTTGTGTTTTTTTCATCTTATGGACTAGGGCATAATAAACATTACCAATATTTCTTCTTTGAAAAGAATTTATTCAACACAAATGATATATTATCTAGATATTATCTATTTATTTATGGTATAAGTTGTGTACATTTAGTTGTCACATTTAACACTTACCCTTCCAGCTAGCCTGGCAAACATGGAGTTCTGATCCTCCGCGGTACCCATTTTTTCCCGTCGTACCTGCAGAGGTCATTTTGGTATTATTGAAAAGATTGGTGAAGTAATTAGCAATGTACATTTTCATTAAAAGAGTGTGAACCTCCCATCAAATAATTTCTAAAATATGATTCATTTTAGCTCTTGTGTACAATTAGGCTCATTTTAAGGCAGTGTTTCCTTGTTAGTACCTGTGAAGAGTGGCTATCTCAGAGAATAAAGTGTGTGAGTACCCTCAAATGGTACAAAAAACAAAAGACAAAACTATGATAGCACAAACTGCCCTGAAGTATACCTGTATAATGATGTTAATTCAAAGGTTCAAGATTTGAACTACCTGTCATAATTGTACCCAAGTTTGATGAGCGGATTTTTTTTTACAATTTGTATCCATGTATGTATAATCATTGTGATCCAGGTGTTCATATCACGTAGTAGACAATTTGTTAATATGAGCATGTCGAAAATTTCTAGATGTCTACCACAACAACTTCCATACATCTTTTTTAGGAGATGTTGTGGCAGTGTAATGGTAAGGCAATTATATAGTGACTTGGTGTCGTGCATAGTAAATTTGAGGCCTGGAGAGAGAACAGGTAAAAAATTGCCTCCCTTCATCAATTGTGTTACAAATGTCCAACTGTTCCAGATTTGAAACTTCCAGTCATAGTTATACCCAAGTTTGATGTACATATACACACATATAAAACCTTTAACTGTTTGAATGTAAGATATTGATAACACAATTATGTGTAAAAAAGCTGGAGGTACAGAAATGTAGCTGGAATGGTTTGTGTCTATTTTCCCTGATTTTGCAACAATGAAAATGTAATGGACTGTATGGGGATGTTGATCAATCTATATATATATATATATATATATATATATATACTTCAGTTCCATATGGAACTGTAGATAAAACAAACCCTATGTATACTGTAAAATGTTTTACTTTGTGGGACTCAATGTTTCCAAAAATTACTTTTGTATATACACTTAACTTCATGTATAAATATAGCTCAACAAATCTACTTATACTAATCAGTTTAAATATAAAAAAAATACAATAAAACCCCAACCAAAGTTAATGATTTTATAGTAAAAGGTGTCTGGAAGTCATTGTCACAATCCTGTACTTTTTTTTTCCACAAAGCTTTCAGCATTTCTTGCATGTTAGCATTTGTCTGAATAAATACATTACATGTATATTCACACAGTACAAATTTAGATAATGGAATGGAAGTCTGTGGAAAAGTTAATAAACAAACATTGTTCATACATCCACTGACATTGTCATGAATGTCTGTAGCCTTGGTCTTCTAATGTCAATGGACTTTGTCCACGATCAATAGCCATAATGTCTGCAGAGATTTTTCAAAGGAAAACAATGACATTCTCGGAAATGGAATTCCCTGAACTTATATGTTGACAATATCTGTGACTTTTTTCCTATGGAATTCCTACGATAAACTACAGTCAGGCACTCATAATACTCTTAGAAATAGTCCAACTTCTTCAAATACTTAAACTTAAATAACAAAGCGATATCTTACCAAAGTATTCAAATCAAATTTATCATCATCATCAAAGTATCTCTGTCTGCCTCCGGTCTTGTCATGAGTATCCACCTGCAACAACACATATCACCATGACAATACCACAAAGATAATTTATTTTTAACACGGGGCCTTAACAGTTCAAAGATCAATAAATGGAAAAATAGAATGTGTTAAACCTATCTAGTGAATACAGCTGAAATAAAATTGACCAATACAGTGATGTAAAAACTATCTGTAGAAATACTAAATTATTCTGTCTTGTTTTATTTCAATTAATTGTAATTTCATTTACATCATGATTATACAACAAAATGAGATTGTTTAAAGCGAACAATTGTGATGTAACACCTTCTCTTTCTTCCTCCTACGTTTGCCGTGCTCCTTAGGGTGTTGGCTGTCAGGGAGTGGACGGACCATTCCATCACGTCCTGTTCGGGTGAGAACTACATCACTATCCCCTTCCTCCCCTTCCTCTTCCATCTCCACAGATGGTTGTGGTCTATCCTTGTATTCTTCCTTCAGCTTACGAGAGGCTTCCATCTGTGCTTTGATTTTAGATGCCATTGCCTTGAAAATTTTAGAAAACATTGATTGTGAAAATCCAAGATGGCAGCCTGACATCCATTTTGTTTTTCTGATCAGTCTCAAAATCAAACAAGCACAAGGGAAACCAACATTTGAGAGATCCATTCATTACTTTTCAGGAAAAGTGATAACAAACAAAAGACAGACAGGCCTTTCTTAACCTTTGGTAACTTTTTCACTTAAGACGTTTTGTTTCTTGAGGAATTAATGTTTAGAAAACTTCTATGATCTCCATTTCGCTAATATTTTTACTAACAATTGCATCGCCCACATACCTCATTCCCCATTAACTCTGCTTTGACTAGTTTCGCTCCGAGTTGGTTCATTTCCTGTTCTGTTAGAATCTTGATTTCTTGTTTGATGACTGGTTTCTTTGTTATTGCCTCCTCTTGATCAGACTCGGATTCAGATGATGCACTACTCTCTGAAGATGTACTGGATACTACAACATTAAAACCAGAATGCCAAGGGAACAACTTTACAATTCTTGTTCAATACTAGATAGTTAGGGTTATTATGAAGCACGGTCTTATTTGAGCAGCTCAATTAAACTCACTGAACACCATACAGGAGGCCCATTGCATGCCATTCAGAACAACTAAAGTAAATGAATTGATCAGGACACAGCCATGACACACATTTAGATTCACAAACTGAAATGGGACGGGATTGTTGAACCACATACCTTGGATCTTAACTTAAAGACAAGAAAACCAACAATCTCCTGACTGAGCTATCATGGCTCCAAAGCAAGAATATGTTTGATATAGATATTTGTCTTCTATTGCTCTATTTGTTTAATTGTATCTTCTAAGTCTAAACAGAGCGTAATATGCTAGTGCTAGAGACAAAATTAAATACATATATTCTCAAATTGTAAACTTTCTTTGAATGCTTTTTTCTTATTCCTTAATGTGTGACTAAAAACTAATAGTGCCACTATTTTTAATATTGGATTGACTTGCCAACTGTCTTCAATTATATTTAGATTAACATTTTTTTTATATCCTGTTGAAGTTCTGTCTGACTGAAATTTATCAAGAAAGATATTGAATAGAAAAAAATCATCAAATGACAAATATTCTTAAATTGTATTCCTAATAAGCCCAATAGGATATTAAAATATGTACAAACCAAATTAAAAACAAACAAAAATGTAGCCCTTTAAATTCTCTATATAATACTTCACACATACCTGAAGAAGAACGCTGCTGTTTATCATTGGAAGGTTTACTGTCTGACATTTTTGACAACACTTTATCACATTCTTTTGGTTTCATGAACTCCTTTTTCTTCCATGATGGTGTGTAATTATCTCCCCTCGAAGAGTTCTTGTCTGAATAAGACTTATTGTAGGATTCCTCATCATTTTCTGATGGTCTCATAAACTTTGACCTTGGTGGGGTTTTAACTTCTTCATCACTATCTCCTGGTCTCATAAATCTTTTCTTTAAATTATTTTTCTCCCTCGATTCCCTTTCATGTGATCTTGATCTTTCAGATCGCCTATTTCTAGAATTTGAATTTGACCTTGACATTGTTCTATCTGCATCTCTTGATCTTGACCTATGTCTCTCTCTTGACAAATTTCTAGATCTGTATCTTTCCCTTGAATTTGACCTTGACCTTCTTGATCTATACTTCTCTCTTGACCTTGACCTAGATTCTGAATGTCTTCTTCTTGACCGATATGGGCCATTTGATTTTGACCTTGACCTTCTTGACCTTTCCCTTGATCGTGATCTCGACCTAGATTTTGAATGCCTTCTCCTTGACTTATATCGGTCATTTGATTTTGACCTTGACCTCCTATGAAAAGTTGATGTCTGTTCACTATCACTGTTGCCGGGCTTCCAAAAAGTCTTTTTCCTACTAGTCATCATTGGATCCCCATTATTGTTGCTGTTGCGTGACTTTTTGTAGTTTTCTCTTGATTCAGATGATCTAATATTTTCCTCCTGTCCCTTCCTCATCTCTTTGTTTGCTTTTTCTGCAGCAGCTAATGTCTGTTGTAAAGCTTCCAATGACTGAAAAAATTTTGAAGTAAAAGCAGTGATTCTTGGAATATTTACCACGGTACGTTACTGCCATGATGTAACCTTAACAAAGTCAGCCTTATCCCATCAAGAGCACTTATATATGTTTTCTCTAATACACCTATGCACTGCCAAATACAAATATGATTGGCAAGATACCACTGCCTCTGCAACAGATATATATACATATATCATTTGCACACTACCCGAAGTTGGACTGAAACAGTAATATGAGAATCAGCACAAGATCCTTCGGTCCTAGTTACCTTTTTAAATAATAATGAGTTTGACCTGTATCTGCCTAGGGAACTTCAGTTTTCATGCTTGCATCAGAAATGCCAGCAAGATGGCAGCCGTTGAGTAGTTTTGTTAAAAGTGAAAATTTCTTTGATAAATAAAATAAAGGATTTACTGGATCATACAGAAGTTGTAGGAGAGTTCCTAAAGATAAGATTGTCTAACAAATGTGATGGTTGGTCACATGCTTCCGGAGACAGGGTACCACTTCAGATTTTCTAAATCTGTTATTTGAAGTAAATTTACGTGATGCAGTAGTTACAGAGATAAGGCAAATGCCATTATTGTCACATAACCAAAATTATTGCAGAGCAAAAATTTATTTAAGTTGTGTTAAACCTCTACACTACAAACTTCCAAGCAATCATGCACATTATATCCCTTCCTTTTGTTATTGCCATAGGTTAGACATGTTGTATACAAAATATTTTAAAACAATCAAAACACTTTCTTATAGATTTTGTGATGTTAATTTCAATATCTTTTCATACCCACACTCATGTACAGTATGGAAAAAAATCTTCCTGGACAAAATGATACCTACTTATATAAATAAATATGCACCGTAAAGTTAATTTGGAATGCTATACCCATAGTAGATAAAAGTCCCAAAACAATCTGCCAGTGGGGCGGATATATACACATAAAATACACAGCAGTGGGGCAATGTTCTATACATTGATCATATGTTGGGATACTGATTACCAGCTCATGAGCGCCAGCTGTAAGAATAGAGAGGTTGCCTCGCATAACAAGACGAAAATCAAAATTTATAAATTTAAGTATTGAACTGTTTTTAGTTGGCTAACACAATCACTTGAATTTGTCCATAACCTGTTGATTAAGTAAGAACTGAAAGTCCTATCTACATTGTATTATCTGACAGGCAGACTGTCATCTTACCATCCAGCAATAAACTACAATGTTAACTATAATCGCCTACCCCTCCTCAACTGAAATTCAAGGATTATAAAGTAACATAGCGTTGTTAAATGTCTGGACATCAACTCTCTCTGAACATTGCAGGGTCCTCTGATATTAAGTAAGAACTCTCCAATATTATGTTATAAATCAGTTTCATGGAATCAATGTTTCTTTTCCTTTTGTTGCCAACCATTCCAAGTAAGTTTTAAGGATATCAAAAGTTATACCAGGTATTTCAAATCATCCTCTATCCAGTGCGACATGAGAAAGTCAATGTCATATGTTTTGTATGATTGATGCATGTAAATAGACAAAGGATGATTGAAATTGGTCACTTGTATATTATTTCAGGTACCAAGAAACCAAATCATTGAGAAAATTAATTTGAAATAAAAAAAGAATACACACTCCATGTGTTTCAGCAGCAACATCCTCCAAAGTTCTGTTCTCTTCCCTGGCCTTTTGGACACACCTATCATAGGACTTTCGTATCCAGGACAAGCCTCCATCTCCCATCACTTTAGAAGGCTTGTCTTTTTTCTTCTCTGTCTCAGGTAACCCAGTTCCTCCCTCCTTCCAATATGGATTTAGTTCTAAAGCATGCTGCCCTGGCTGCCAAAGAAAGCCCAAACAATATATTTCAGACTTTTGAACTCTGTATATTAACCATAATTGTTTTATTACTCTTCTGTTTGCAAATTGTATCATTAGGAATACTGGAAAATAAGATATTTCTCTTCATTGTTATTCTTATCAAATAAGTGCTGCTTACTTTCAACTGTTTTTACCGAACCCAGAAGTATTGGCAATGAACTTCATGTTTACCTGATCCAGAAGGCTTTACTGAGTTGACTTTGACCCTTGTTGTTTACCTGTTCCAGAAGGCATTATTGAGGTGACCTTGACATTGGTTTTTTAGGTGACCAAAAAGGCTATACTATATAGACATTGACTCTTGTTGTTTTTACCCTTTCCAGAAGACTGTATTGTGTTGACCTTGACTTTGGCTTACCTGTTCCAGAAGGCTTTAATGTGGTTTAACTGTTCTTAAGGGATTTACTGAGTTGACCTTGACCCTTGTTTTTTTACATGTTCCAGAAGGCTTTATCGAGTTGACTTTGACCTTTATTGTTTACCTGATCCAGAAGGTTTTTTTGTTTCTCTTTCTCTTCCTTGTCTTGCTTAATACGCTCCCTTATTTCCTGTCGTGATGTCAAAGGAATCAAATCTGTGGGAGCATCCATCCAACTGTCTCGCTTTCAAATATAAACAGGGTTACATAAAAATCAGTTGTCTTAGTGTCAAAAATATACACAACACTTTAAACCTTCTTTTTCTATATATTCTGTCTGACAACAAATTTTATTCCAGATATAATATCATCAACAAATTTGAAAAAGAATTTTAAGGGACTAACAATTGAACAATGTATCCATTATAATCAAACACTATCTGACTACAATGCTTAAAGTATTTTTTCACCTGGAGTTGTGGCCCTTTCACAGCTATTCCCTTTTCTTCTACAGACGTATTGCTATCCTTTTGTTTCTCAACCCAGATATCTGCATCATTGTCCTATTGAGAAACAATTAAGAAAAAATTATTGTGAATTTTCATCATTTAACACTAATGCTTTATTTTATTTACTACCATTTTCTACCAACTTGAATCTAGAAAATTAAGTGGTATACACCTATTTTGCATTTAAAACCATATTTATCCTCAACTAAACCCCCCAAAAACATTCTGACTCAAAGTCAGGGCATCAGCTTATTACCTCCGAATGTAATGTTTGAAACCTGTGGAGTAATGCTTACTGATAGGTCAATGACTTTAAGTTTAAATAAAATAAGAAACTTTTACATCAAATTATGCTTGCTATTTATAGTGATAAAGTGATCCCTAAAAGAAAAAAAAACATTCACATTAACACAAGGTTCAACCCCACAACATCCTTACGCTGTCAGATGATTGTTCACTGTCAGATCCACTGTAGTCTTTTTTCTTTCTGTTTTTCTCTTTTTTCACTTTCTTCTTTTTCTTCTTTTCTTTCTTATGTTTCTTCGACTTTTTAAATTTTCCCATTTCCTAAAAGAATAAGATATGCAGTTATAAGATACTTAGTGTTTCCAATAGAGAACATTTCAAACAATCAGTAACAACTATGTTAAATTAAATACAACAATTTGGTGCCACAAAACATTTGGGGAATGCACTGCTAAGTTCACTGTATCAATTTCAAACAGATTACATGAAATAGCACAACCAAGGAAGAACATGTACATTGTGCCACTTTCTCCACTTTTTGTGCTTCATGTTTTCCAATTTCAAGTATATCAATAAGTGACATACAGAAACAAGGGCCATCAGAGACAGGTTATCTTCCCAGAATGGGACAAAATTTAAGAATGAAAAATAACAAAGGGCAATAAGAGAGTTATGATTCCTGTACAGTGCCCTCCTTCTTGTTGAGATCTATCTACCTATGAAGTTTCATGTTGATACCTCTTATAGTTTTAGTGTAATGCTCTTCACAAAATTTGTGTGTGAAAAATAACAAAGGCAATAACTTCGAAATTATGCAAAAGAGGTTGATTGTTCTGGTGCAGTGTACTTGTTCTTGTTTAGATCTATCTACCTATGAAGTTTCATTTTGATACCTCCTATAGTTTTTGTGTTATGCTCTGGACAAAATTATGATGGACCACAGATGGACAATGGGAGACTATATGCGCTCCCTTCATACCTCAAAGATATTGAAATCCTAGAAACATCAAGATTTTCTCATACAAACTCATGATGTAACATTCAATGCCTGATAACAAGAGCAGTTAACCCTAAATTACAAGAAACTGGAATAGTCACCAATACAGGTCCTTTCTCTGAAATGTCATCTTGTTGGAAGAAGCAGTCATCTTGAATGCAACAAAGTCTTAATTTTATATATGACCAACTCATGAACCACCCATCTACTAGTTAGGGCCCTGCCTCTGTATCATTGTCCATTCAGCAGATGCAGAGTGATTTGAACATCCTACCATCTGAAAATGAAGTGGTTATAATCACCTTTTCTTCTTTATCAAGTCTTTGTTGAATTGTTGGTAACATCCATTTATCTTCTCCTCGTAGTTTTGCTTGTTCTTTTCTCCACTCAGCTTTTTCATAGTCCTTCTTTGCCTTAAAAAGCATAGGAAAATATCAATTCGTTACCTGCACCACTTTCTGAAATTTACTTAAATATGAAATAAATATTTCTGAGTTAAGTAAGGAAAAGGGTTTATATATAGTCAAAGTTTTATTAAATTGGATTCCTACCTAAAGATCTTGAGTAGTCCAAATTATTTTGAAGTTCTATCGACATTTATATACCGGCCTGGTGTTGGCCAACTCCATACAAAGATATATACATGTACAAATGTAAAAGGAAAAGAAAGCCACTAGGTACCAAAATAAAACAATATTAAATTATAGCTATCAGTATCTGATTATAAAGGTAATTATAAGTTCTGAAGTTCTTATATATTACTAGTCGCCCTTGTAAAACCGACTGTCAGCTTATATAAATTGCAATAGTGTCGGTCTGTCTGCTATCAGCAACATACATGTAACTGGACCATCGATAGTCAAGTAGAGCCCATAGACTTAGTACCTCACCAGTACATGCACATGTACAATGTACCTGGAGCCGAATATAAATATATGATCCAGTCTGTCAATTTAAGCCGACGATATCATTCGTCTTTTTAACTCATTTGCACTTACATTTTCCAAAACGACAGCCCTTGCTTTCCGTTTTTCCTCCCTCTTAGCGTCTTTTACTCTGATACTTTCAAAAGGAATAAACGAAGCCATGTCGAAATCAAAACAAAGTTATACCGGAAATAATTCACGCACACTAAATTTCGTGAAATTTCGTCCGGAAACTAAGGCTGTATTCGCGCCGGTTGAGACGGTTCAGGTGGTCCTGAATTATTCCACTATATACAAACGTACTTGTTCGGATGTTGGAAATGATTTATGTAAAGCTGAAAAAGCAGTTTCAGAACTCCTGTTAAGCGTAAACTAATTAACTGTAATTAAGATGCCATCCATTTCACTCATATTTTTAGCACAGTTCTCCCGGAAATATGTGAATGAAATTCTGAACATTAATAATATACCGATATTTAGTTTCGGACAGGAACGACTGGATCCCCTCAAACTGCAAGCGCCAAATACTCTGCATTCCAGTCTCGGTCCCGATATATTGCATAATGTACATGTTTTTTGTAGGTAGATATCGTTGATCATGATATGTAACAGAAATCAAGATATAATTGTTAGAGTCTAAATTTCTTGTCTTACGGCGAAGTCATTTATTTATAAGACGTATATATCGTTGAAGCACCAGTTACATATATCAAAGTCCGTGGTAAAACGACGTGAACTATTGTGCATGTAGCCTACATGTAGGACAGCAGCATGTCGGGTTTTCAATGGTTTGTTTGGTTTTACAGTGGTGGACGATAGTTATTATATGTCTTTACATTTACTCGTGGTATATCATTCATTACAGACTTTATTCCAGCAAACACCCTAACCGTGTAAGTATCTTTTTTTAAGATGATTGGTCAGTTTATTTTTCACTGAAACCTGCTCTAAACCAATCAAATACTTTGTCTGTACCTTCATTTTGCATCCTCGATACACTAGGAGTTAAATACTTAATATCGCTCTCTGCACCCCTGACATAGGTCATGGCAAAGTTGACGGTACAAGCGAAGTAAGCTGATTGGTCTAGAACGGGTTCCGGGAAAAAAAATATATATAGAGAAAAAAAGCACATGCTTTAACGTGCTCCTTTGAAGGAGAATGAAGCGACACCCTACTTCAAAGCCAGTACATCATACCGTTATGCGACTTCAAGATTTGTCTGATGTACATCAAAGGAACAAACTAGTCTTTTCGTCTTATCCACAAGGTGTCGCACAGGGAACCTTTTATCCTGGCATGTTCCAGTGGTATACAGAACGATATGGTGCGTAATCCCTGGAGTATTAAAGATGCCAATCTTGTTATGAAATCAATGCTCCAGGGACGCAGATAGTGATAAAGTGAATGTAACATCAGAACTATCAAGGATAGGAAAGCCAAACTCAACTAACTATTAACCATAATTCCTTCAATGGAAAATCAGTTATATATGCAGAAAATTTGCATAAATTTCCATTTCTTTGAGATTTATTCAGCAGGTCTAAGAGCTCTTCATTTTATCGCTGTGAAATCTTTGCCGATGTGCAAATGAAAGAGCCACGAGAGTTTTATAAATCTCAAATGGAACGGAAATGAATGTGATGATATTCTGATTATCATACGACTAAGACACTTAATTATCAAAAAATCACGAAATTAACAATTTATTACACTAATCAAAATTTGAATTGGGGATATTCTCACTCTACATTTTTTTTCTGTTGTTGACGTCACAATATGCATACGACTTTCATTCAGCCTATCCCAGTCCCGCTTCGGGATGTTCTCCCCTAAAAAGTAAAAAAAAAATAAAGATAATTTATTGTCGTTCATTACGGATACATGGATGTCAAGAAAAGAATGATGTGAAATGTGAAGTTTTCATCTGTTTTAACGGGCTATAAAAACTGCATAGCAACCAAAAAAGGAAAATGCTCCAATGTGACTTTAATCCTTCTTTGATCATCTTCGGATACTGAGCTTGTAATTTTCGAGGATACAACTCCCCTCTTTTATTCTTGCGATATTCACCAAATAGCCAGTTTTGTCAAAATCAAGAAACAAGCTGAAATATAGCTTTTTTGTTCCAGTAAAGTGGTCTACCAAGTCAGAATTCACGAATCTATGAATTTTGGTGACAATTCATGAAAATCAACTTGAAATCTACCTAAGATTTCCATAGGAAAGTACCTTTAGCAACCAGTAACGTTGAAACTGTTGACGCTATTAACCGAATCACGCCCTCATCGATAGTGGATTATGTGTTACTTCCAGTCAAAGGAATACATTCCTGGCGGCAAGAACTACAACATGCTATGGTTTACCTATATGAACAAACTGTGTCCCTCAACCGACTGGCTTGATTTTCTTTTCAAATAAGGTTCACTCTATCTAAGAGCTTATCTAGCCAGTCCAAAAAGACCTAACCAAGTTATTTAATTTCGCATTAAGATTTATAGACGATGTTTTGTCTTTCATTGATATGAGATTTCTTGGCCATGTCCTCCGTATTCACACACCAGAAGTGGACACCAAGTCACGACAGGCTGTTCAACACCGATCGTTTTCCTATATCTTTTCATATAACGGAAGAAACAGATAAGCGTGATGATCTCTATCCCTATTCTGCATTTCCCATTTCTTGATAGTGACAACGCATAATTAAACATTGGCATTCAGGAGGATTCGTGGGGATATGATTGAAGTCTTCAAAATTACGAACAGTTGTGATAGTAACGCTGCTGGTTTCCTTAAATTGTGGATCGACAAAATTCAAATTCAGCGGACAAGGGGCCACTCCAAAAAACTTTGCATGCAGCACTGTAAACTTGACATCAGGAAACATTCTTTTTCTTTGCGTGGGGTCAAAATATGGAACAATCTTCCGGAGTATATTGTATCGGCACCAACAGCTAACTCTTTCGAAAATATATTAGATTAACACTGTGCAAATCAAGAACAGCCGGTATATAATTATAAATAAGACATTCTGTAGTTCTCCTGGATCTGACGTCTCAAATGACAATAATTATAAACACTATTATGGTATCACTGAGACCGGTAGCCTATAGAGGATCGTAACGATCCTGCACTGTTAATAAACTAAACTAAACTGAACTTAAATTAACTAAACTAAATATCAAGTTATTCTTAATACCACGATCTTTGTGCAAGATCTGAATTAAAGTACTGAGGACCATAATTTATCACCTCTATGTCATGTAAAGGACCATAATTTATCACCTCTATGTCATGTAAATGAAGTTGTTTTCATCATCAAGGTCATTTCTTTCTAGTAGTCTTAATAGCCTCAAGCTAAACGTTGAAAATTCTTAGCTTCGATTGGGCAGAGACATATATAACCAGAGACATATATCACATATACATGTCTCTGGATTGGGGTATCTCGATCTGTTTATTTTGAGGCTGTATTCCATAAAATTAAAGTCTTTGTTATTTCAAAGACATGCACAGTGATTGACTTAAGAAACAACGTTATAAACTTTTCCTAAAGTTTTTTTTTACTCTGCTAACAAAACACTTCTTTTGGAAAATTTCCCGATGACCACCTGTACCTGCAGTTTTTTAACTCGTGTAAAAGTTCGGTTGGTTTAAACAGACAGCTTCGTCTCAACCAATCAAATTTGTACATGTCACTTGCCCAATGTTTGCCACCACACTTCCGGTATATCGGAACTAGCCGGCTAAGACAACAAACTGACGCCCCGAGAAGTTGTTGCGATTTTACGTAGGAGGAAATTTGTCGTGATGGCAGGACTAGGGATTGGATGTGTCCTCCTTTTCCTTTTACCGGCTGTTTTGTCAGCAGGTAAAGCTAAAGGACCTAAAGTGACCGATGTTGTAAGTAAATCGTCACCCGTGCAGGGCTGTTTCGCCCGATTGATTCTGCATTGTTCCACGTGATCACTAATCACTAGTTTCAAAATGCACAAATATTTTAACGTGTTATGTTATTGAATAACTGATATAACATAGCAAAATATAGTGAAATATGTTCATGAAAAGAAAACGTTATTTGCATCTGAAAGTAAAATGTGTGAACTGAAAGTAGAGAATTAGATCCGGTGTAAAGGGAGTTAAATCCCTTAAACTTGTGGCCAAGGGGAGACCAGTGACACAGGTGACTATTTCCAGCGAGCGGCATCCAACGAGAAGGATAAAGGATGAAATGTTTCATCGTGAAAAAAAAATGGAGTATGGTTATTACTGTCAGATTTGTACTGTAAATGTACTGCATATATGTGGCAAACACGCTTTCATAACTGTTTCATGATCAAGGCAACTTCATTTATATACAAAATTAAGTGTTTGATAAAACAGTCAAACAGTATTAACGAATCCTAATTATTCCTAATAGTATTCATCTTTTTGTTTCTTTATGTATGCTAAAAGATGAAGCATGACAAATCTAAATTATTCTGATGGCCTATCAACTAGAACTCCAGACCAAATAAAAAAAGGCATTAGAATGTCAGAATAATTTTGAATAGAAACATGATTATTTCACTGTGATAAATCTTCATGTGAGGCCCAAGTCCTAATTTCACAGAAATTTAATATGACTTGAGGAATTTCTGGAAATATCTAAATTTTACATTGTAGAACACATTCTTTTAAACAATAAAGTTGAAAAGATCTTAAAAAAAATCAGAAGGATTCCTGAATCAGTTATTCCCTGTCAAAGTACTATATCTTTGGTACTAGGATGTATACAATCTGGAGACGGGTTAGGTCTTTGCTTTTTGAGATACATATCATTTATAACTGTGCACTACTAGTTCTGTGATGTTAAATAATCAGTTTTACTGTTTTTTGTTCTTGGTAGGTTTTCTTCGACATAGAAATTGGTGGCAAACCAGTTGGAAGAATTGAAATTGGTTTGTTCGGTAAAACTGTGCCAAAAACTGCTGAAAATTTCAAGAAATTGGCAATGGGTTCTGAGGAAAAAGAGGTATGTCTACAATCTATACATTAGTTGTCTATTTGTAATGTTATCTACTGGCATGAGTTCATAAGGTCAGCTTGCATACTGTGCATAAATTCTTGTTTTAGAAATTAAGTAAATGAAGAGGTAAACATATTATATAAATCTCAGAAAGTACTACATATGACATTGTTTTTTTTTTTATCAAAATTTAATATTGGAATAAAAGTTTAAGAAATGAAGAAAACAAAAGCTTTGTTCAAACAAGAGTTGTAAATTAAAATTGATTATATGTTTAACAATAACTGTTTACTTTATTTCTTTTTCAAACAGGGCAAGACACTCACATACAAAGGCAGCAAGTTTCATAGAGTGATAAAAGATTTCATGATCCAGGGAGGTGATTTCACACGAGGTGATGGAACTGGAGGTTGGTAAACACTAACTGTGTACTTAATGAATTCGGTAGTCACTATTTCTTTTCAATAGTACTAGATGGTCAATGTTATCAAGGAAACTATAATTACAACTGGTTAAGGTATTATTGTAGTTACCTACAGTACAGAGACAATGTAGGGAGGTATTGTAGTTACCTAAAGTACAGAGACAATGTAGGGAGGTATTGTAGTTACCTACAGTACAGAGACAATGTAGGGAGGTATTGTAGTTACCTACAGTACAGAGACAATGTAGGGAGGTATTGTAGTTACCTAAAGTACAGAGACAATGTAGGGTGGTATTGTAGTTACCTACAATACAGAGACAATGTAGGGAAGTATTGTAGTTACCTGCAGTACAAGGACAATGTAGGGAGGTATTGTAGTTACCTACAGTACAGAGACAATGTAGGGAGGTATTGTAGTTACCTACAGTACAGAGACAATGTAGGGTGGTATTGTAGTTACCTACAGTACAAGGACAATGTAGGGAGGTATTGTAGTTACCTACAGTACAGAGACAATGTAGGGAGGTATTGTAGTTACCTACAGTACAAGGACAATGTAGGGTGGTATTGTAGTTACCTACAGTACAGAGACAATGTAGGGAGGTATTGTAGTTACCTACAGTACAGAGACAATGTAGGGAGGTATTGTAGTTACCTACAGTACAAGGACAATGTAGGGTGGTATTGTAGTTACCTACAGTACAGAGACAATGTAGGGAGGTATTGTAGTTACCTTCAGTACAGGGACAATGTAGGGAGGTATTGTAGTTACCTGCAGTACAAGGACAATGTAGGGAGGTGTTGTGGTTACCTACAGTACAGGGACAATGTAGGGTGGTATTGTAGTTACCTACAGTACAGAGACAATGTAGGGTGGTATTGTAGTTACCTACAGTACAGAAACAATGTAGGGAGGTATTGTAGTTACCTGCAGTACAAGGACAATGTAGGGAGGTATTGTGGTTACCTACAGTACAGGGACAATGTAGGGTGGTATTGTAGTTACCTACAGTACAGAGACAATGTAGGGAGGTATTGTAGTTACCTACAGTACAAGGACAATGTAGGGAGGTATTGTAGTTACCTACAGTACAGAGACAATGTAGGGTGATATTGTAAGTTACCTACAGTAGAAGGATGTTGTGGGGTGTCATTTTTGTTTCCTATAGTATAGGAGTAAGGGAAGCTGTCATTGTGGTTACCTACAGCACAGGGATGAGGTAAGTTGTCAATGTGGTTACCAACTGTACAGGGGAAAGATAGGAAATCATTGTGGTTACCTACATTATCTTGAAGATAATAATGTTAGTAGAATTTAAGTTATTGAAGTTTTACAAACAACTTTTAAAATCCAGTTTACTGAAAAAATTACAGGACGAAGTATCTATGGAGAAAAATTTGCTGATGAGAACTTCAAGCTTAAGCATTATGGTGCTGGATGGTTGTCGATGGCTAATGCTGGAAAGGACACAAATGGATCTCAGTTTTTCATTACCACTAAGAAAACACCATGGCTTGATGGCAGACATGTTGTCTTTGGAAAAGTTCGTAACGGAATGGTAAGATCACTTTCTAATAAGGAAATATCAACTTTTGTATGCTGTCATTAACACAATTACTGATAAGTGTCATTTTATGTGGGTGTGGGATATTGGGAATTGCAACTGCGGAATATTGATATTGGCTCATATTTAAAAAATCATCTCAAGACCCTGATATGGTATATGGTAGGATCAGACACAGTGCTTAAGTAAATTAAGTGAAATGATGGCTTTTTCATGTCCATGGGGCCTCGCATTACCCCACATGGAGAGGGTAAAGTTTACTTTAGTTTATAAAAAAACTTAAAGTTTTGAGCATATTGTGTTAACTTCTAATGGAAGTGATTTAAACTTGGTTAGAATGATTAGTATGGAAAGTCGATTTTATGACAAAGGCAATGTTTCAATAATATATAAACAACATCTTTTATGGTAAACTGAAAGTCTTTTATAAAATATAGTAAGTTTTACACTGTCCTCACAGAGTAATGCATTAAGGTCGTATGGCCAGTTATATTTAAATTAATTCTTTATTATTTAATACAATTTTTTTCTTTTTTCCCCAGGATGTCGTAAGGAAAATTGAAAACAATCCAACTGTTACTAATGATAAACCAAAAGAGGATGTAGTTATTGTAGATTGTGGTGTCCTGAAAGTAGATAGTTACACAGTAGAGAAAGCAGATGCAACCGATGAAGATTAAACTGTAGAAATCCATTTTTTCATTTCTTATTTAATATTTTTTCATCCAAAAATGCTGTATTCTCCATTTAAATGTTGCTGGGATTATAATATATTGTTTTGAAAATTGTGCTTTTGGGTCTAAATTTCATATTAATGGTAAAGAGAGTAAGTCAACAGTTTAATAATAGCTTTTATCTACAACGTGTCTTTTGTAATTAATGGTTTTGATAATTTACATGATTGTGTAAATAAAGATTATAAATTTGTATAAAGATTGCAGTGCTGTGTTTTGTAATATTCTCTCTCATGATAAGGTGATTTCTGGTGATATTTCCTACACAGAAACTACTATTACATGAAGATTTGTGCAAATTTGATTCACATAAACCAATATTTAGCTCACCTGCTCTGAAGGATGACTACATAGGCCAGACTGTCGAGTGATGCAGGACCCTTGGGCCTCGTTTAGAAAAAAAAAAAAAAAAAATCTGCTTTAAATTTGATCCATTCTCGACCAGAAAGGTTCAAGCAACTCTTCATTGTGAACTAATGCATCGTTTTCAACTTTTAAGCAATTATTCTCATAAATAGAGGTTCAATATATTAATTATTTCTACAAAATAAGATTTTCTGAAGAACAGAAAATGTTGTGACTTGCTTTGCTTTTTTTTTAGATTGAATGTAATGAACATGTATCAATGTTGTCATCCTTGATACTCCAGGGGTTACACTCACTATTACACTTAACCTGTGAAACATGTCATGGCAAAATTGGAGGCCCAAGTATAGTAATTTGATTGGTTTAGAGCAGGTTCCAGGGAAAAAATACTTGACTAATCACAGACTGATTTGAAGATTACAAAAGAGCGACACACAACTCCAAAGCTGTTTGCAATCTGGAGTTTCTTTTGATGTACATCAGATGTATATCAAAGAATCAAATGAAACTTGTCCACAAGGAACCTTCAGTTTTGCCATGACATGTTCCAGGGGTGCAGAGAGCCATATAGTGAGTGTAATCCCTGGAGTTTCAGCTAATGTTTTGTAGATATATGTATATGTATTTGCTTCTCCGGAGTGTAGAGAACCTGCATCAATCAGCTTTATCAAGTTAGAAAGGTTCAATAAACATGTATAAGTTATTTCAAATGTTTTGGCTCTTGTGTGTTTCTTGCAAGAACCAAACTCACTTAAAATCATTTGATAAATATCTATTAGAACAGGACAGTTTAAAATCAGATGTTTTATCATGCAGTGCAGTGGAATTTGATGAACCAAAGCCTTAAATCAAGCAAGATGGAGTGTCCCAGCTTACATGTAGATCATTTCAGCACTGAACTATAAATCTGATATTAGACATTTTTGACAGAAATCAATCAATGGCTGCTTGACAGTCATTTTGAATTTGAGCTTGTCATGTTTTCACCACATGGTATCAAGTCAAGTCGCCCCCAAGACAAGTCACCCCCTATTATCTCAAGACAGGTCGCCCCCTACATCAAGACAAGTCGCCCCCTTCATCAGAAGAAAAATAATGAATAAAAATATAATTATTTTGTTGTTTGATGCTATTTTATTTATTCCAATTATAAGAATTATGTACTCATATACCATATATTATATATTATATCTTATAATTTAAGCACTAATAATAATAAATATATACATGAAGTTTATTTTAAGAACATCCATAGGCTAAACAAATCTACAATAATAGTAATACATTTAGAATGATTTGATATATATGGACTCGCTTTATTCTAATTAAATAGAAACACAATATTATAAACAATAAAACATGCACATGCAAACACACTGCACTGTTTCTACTCTTCATATAATGTCTGGTATATAGTCACTGATAACTTATACACTGTCACTGGTTTCCGTAGATGTGTCCACATTTCAGTTTGTTCACGGAAATGGTGCCATCGCTGTAGTTATCCCACAAGTCGTTGATTCTGCTCTGCAGTAGTCTGGTTGTCTTACGCTGAAATCTTCCTAGTTTTCCCTCACTGACCACCTTCATCTGTACAGGCAGTAGGATGGCTTCTTTGTGTAGAAGAATGACAAGGACGTAGAATGGGAGGTTTGACTTCCGGGTCTTTCTGTTTAGTCGGTGGTGCCATCCTTCTATGTCGTTGTTGGTCCTGATCGAAAGTCTGTAAACGCTCCAAGATGCGGGGGTCCAAGTAGTGCTGATATATGGGGGCGACTTGTCTTGGGGGCGACTTGACTTGCATTCCACCACATACACAGTAGTAGCAGAAAAACATCTAAGGGTGATGCATCAATCCTTAGAGAGAGGAGACCCATTCCCTTACTTCCGGTACCCACATTGCCTTCTAATTTTCTTTTCCTAGATCCAACCTCTTAATCTTTGAAAATGGCATTGAACAGTTCTGTTTGAAATATTTCCCAACATATTTGTTTTTTGATTTACATTAGTTCTAATGAAGGAACATTAGATAATTACAGTAATAAATAACTAATATCATACCTCTAGATTTCAGCTTCTATAGATCTTCTGGCATCAATATGTTTTAAGATGATGTGATTTTAATATATGTCCTGAAACCCCGTCCGCTGGAATATGAACTTTAAGACACTTTTTGATTCTGTTGAAAACTTAACAAGTAAATGAGTGAACAGGCTACATGATATTTACTCTCTGAGTGGTTCAAGTCCATTCGGTCCATCATTCGTTGAAGAATTTCCAGCTTGAAATTGAAAATGAAATCAAAACAGGTAAGCTTTCCTTGATCCTGATGTTAAATCCACATTTCAAGATTTACATGGCAGTTATTGTGCCTGCAGTATAAGGCATCTGCAAATATCTTTATATTTCTTATCTACAAAAAGATCTGGGCTTGCTTGATAACAAAGGATACCCCACCTATACATTATGCAATCGTTCAAAAGACAAAATACTAGCTAATCATGCTGTGGTATTACAATAATTTATATTGCCTTTTAATGATAAGGATAGATGTTGCTCTTGTGAGGAGATGTAGGTTGGCTGGGTGGGTGGGCTCTGCATGAGGTTGGGATTTTGACTCATTTTCTGTTATGCTTTTGAAAAGGGACTGGTTGGGTTGGAGATGAATTATCCCTGGTGCATTTGTCCTGTGATTTGTATGTGGGACGTTCTTGGAATTGCGACTATTCTTCCTCCCTGCTACATTGTGTGTTTCGTGGAGTTTGTGCTGAGTTTGTAGAGGGGATAAGGTCTCCTTGTCATACTTTGATCCAGAATTTCCACTCCCAGTCAGGTATTTGATGCTCTGGTGAACCTGGGGCTTATGTAGTGGTGTAACTGCTTCAACTCCTTGAGTGTGTGTGGTGGTGTTGTCGGTCAACTTATCCTCATAAGAGGTTGTTTGGGATTCAATCTCTGCTGTTAGTGTGTCAAATAGAGTTAATTTCTGAAGGGTATCCTACACGCTTCGGTTTTTTTTCTGGTTTATTTTCATCAACACCTCTTCCTCATGGTTCATTGATAATTTGGGTTGCAGTGAAAATGCTTGCTGAGACCGGTGTGTCTGTACTGGTATGGGACATAGAATCCTGACATGTTTTGGCTGGTGCAATGATAGATAAATCTTCAGCATCATTAAGATTCAGGCAACAAGCACATGTGTGTGGTATTTGTATATTGGATCTGTGGTCATTGTAGTAGTGTATGGTACGCCTCTCACAGCAGTAATGAATCCAGAGACCACACTTGTCACATTTGATTGTAATTTTGTCTTGTTCCTCCACAGAGGGCAAAGTAGGACGGGCTCAATTTGCTGCACTTATTCTAGCTTGTAAATTCTTTTGAATCAGGGGTTGTTAGGTGGGTGTATAGCAGTTTGGTTGTTACACTTTCTGTTGGATGGAGAGTTTCTCATTTCAGTCTTGGCAATTTGTATCGTTGATAGCTTGCTTGTAAATAAATGATCTGTTTAAAAGACTTTTCAAGGTTGGCCATATCAGGATATTGGTTTATGATGTGGATAATTTGGCAATGGTCTTCATAATATACCTGTGCATTCTTGTCGTTTTTTATACAAAATTGGAGGAGCTGTAGTACAGCATCATGAGCTATTTCGATTTCGGTCAAATCTTAATGCATGTCTTCAAAATATGCAATCACCGCCTTCTTGTACAGTTTAAATATTCCAGAGCTCATAAGGTAGATATGGTTCTCATCTTTTATTTGGAATTTAATTTCTGACTCATCACATCCTCTCAGTTTCTCGAAGATTTCATGTTGAAAAGATGTCAATTTTAGATGATTTTCATATCAATAAAAATGCATCATTAAAAGATATGGATCGAGGCAAGCTATGCTGTTAAAGTGAAACATGTTTCGTAGAACAATCGTTTCATGTTATCATCATATCTTATGCTTCAGTTGTTTCTTAATGAAATCATCAACTAAATGATGTTATTAACAAGAGGGCTGCCATCATCTCCTTTTTACAAGGACGAGTTTAAGTCAATTTTCACCTGCTGAAATATCCGCTAAAGAATCAAATTAATCCCAAATCTTATTATCAATATAAAATTAAATATCAAAGAGTTTCTCATTGTTATATGTCTACATCTTATTATTGATATATCACAAATTTGTGAACCTTCCCGCAATTGGTTCGGTCGAATGGCATTTTGGAAAAATGTCATTTTAGATGTGCATTATAAAAACGCCATGGATTGTTGCAAGATATGCTTGTTGAGTAAGAGACTTTTCGAAGAACACTAGTTCCTCATTTAAATCATTGATAAATGATAAAATAAATTGATAATGATAACACAACACATTCTAATTAACGTAAAAGAAAAGTTATATGACAAACTCACATTTCATCAGTTCCCAGCACAGGAGAGAAGATGAACCACAACACGTCTGTGGTCCTGCATTGATGGGGGTGGGGGACGATTTTATCAGTGACAACAAGTGTCGTAAAGCTTCTTCATAAAATCTTGCAAAATGAGATGACCCAGAAGAAATTTCCCATGGTGAAATGGCAGTTGCCTTTGTATCTATATTTAAGTCCATGATTAGACGTGACTAGGAAGTCATTTTATTAACAAAAAAATAAATACCTTCAGAATAAAATCTTTCAAACTACGACAAAGTATGGAGAGAGACAGATTTACTGGAAGATCATTAATCTTTTCAACAAAGCACCTCACAGTTACATAAAATATGTCATAAATCATCTTTATTGGCAACCTCAATATCACATTCATACATTACACATGTATGAAGTTAATGTACATATTCTGAAATGCTATAAAATATATATATTTGATCAAATATAGAATAAGATCCACAATTCCAACTGCCCAGACATTTTTAGGGGTGATTGGTCACTGTTCATTAAACTGTTACAACTGATGTCATAGCATATTTTGTAGATATCCATAACTGAACAAGGAGTGTCCATATTTTATTCTAGAATGACCAAAGAATACTTTCAGAGCTTCCATTTCAATTATGATCTATAACATAAGTCTCGTAGTTGTCAAAGCTAGACTCGGAATTATTCTTTAAAAGGACACACAGTTTAACATCCAGTTCATGATTAGTTCATTGTTTTGTGTGATTATCAGAATTAAATGGTTTAACTGATAACAGTCAAAGTTTATAACAACCTTGTTCTGAAGTTTTATCTTGTGTTGTTCTTTCATCTGATCTGGAATGTCTCATCTACATGGTCACATGACAGTGAATACCTACACATGTACAAGCATGTACGATAAGATAATAACACATTTACCTTTGTTTTTACATCAATTAACAGTTATCAATTATGATTTATAAATGCACATTTAATTACACATTTCACACAGAAAACTATAATCACAGAATCATCACATCCAGAAGTTGACATTCATTTTCAAACATTTGTTCAGACTTATCCGCCCTTCAAGTCATTTAGAGCCCCTCGGAGGAGATGTAACAAAGCATCACGCTGGACCTGTGATCCTACAAAGCGAACAAGTTCTTCAACACCAACACTTCCCACTAACTCCTGGACTTTTTTCACTATCCTCTGTTTATCACTGTCACTTAAGTTTTTCATCACCACTATCATCGCCTGGTAGTCATCTGACTTCATGTAGCCAATCAGTGAACCTACAATTTTGACCGAATGGTGTAGTTATGATAGGCAGTGTATTACCATACAACACCAATCATTAGACTATGTCATTAACGATCACATTTTAAATAGAAATATGTAAATATAATAAAGTAAAGTAAAGCTGGCTTCTTGACACACGCATGACAAACTAAATACAACATACCAAATATATTTTGGGTTCAAGATCCGATTTCATCTTTCAACATCCTGCCATCCTAGTAGCTACCAACCACATTTATCACTAGGATATTTCCTTTAACATGTGGTCACCAAAGGGCTTTAACTATTCACAAAATCAGAGGAACCTTCCTTTATCAAAGCTACCACAAAAAACAGCTCTACAGCAATTTTCAGCTAGTCTGGTCCAAAGGACCACAGAGATTATGCCATTGGGCAGCGTCGCTGTCCGTTGGATGCTGTTTGGCAGCCATCAACTTACTTAATTGATTTTAACCAAATTTCGATAGAAACCTCCATGTGGGGAATTGGAACCAGATTTGTATAAAGTTTTGTTCTCAGTTCCAAGAGGCCTGAGGGGCAGTGGATGTTGACCCCTTGTTCAAGATGGTTGAGGTTGTTTATGAAAATATAGAAAATTCTTTCAAAAAAACATTTTTGTAGAAATAAAGGAATTCAGTTTCATTTTTTTCTGAAGCATGCTTGGGTAAACAGGAATCAATCTTGTATAAAGGTTGGTATCAGCTCCCTGAGGTGGGTGCGGCGGGCTGGCCCAATAACAGAACCACAGCAAATTCTTAAACATAATCCTATGCTTCCTGTAGGAATAATTGGATTTTGCCCAAATTTGTTGAAATGAAATGAATTTTGGGTAAAAAAAGGTCTTTTCCCCATGGATGGGTAGGGAGGGGTGCAAGAGGAGAAATGAAGAATTTTTTTAAAATTGTCCCAATTTGGACTGAAGCATCTGAGGTGTAGGGGAATGAATTTGTTTAAATGATGGATATTGGCTCCCTGTGGTGGGAGGGGCAAGGCCAAAGACAGGAAATAAAAGAAATTCTTTAAAATCCACTTTTTCTGTAGAAATATCAGAATTCTGTTCTAATTTGATCTGAAACATACTTGGGTGAAGGAGTTTGAATTTTGTATAAATGGTGGGTCTTTATCCCTCCTAATGTGGGATGGGATATGGGTGGGGGTGAATAGCGGAAATTCTCTAAAATCCCCCATTTGTTGGAATGTCTTGATTCTGTCTGAAGCACATACCTAGTTGAAAGGAACCTAATTATGTGTCTACAAGGAGTCCGACATCAGAGAAAGGTGGAGCCCATAGGGGAAATGTAAATTATTAAAAATCCTTCGTTTTAGGACATTGTCCATGTTTGGTCTGAAGCAATTTTCATGAATAGCGAATCTGACTTCTGTTTGAACAAAAGGCCATGGAAATTATTTCAGAAATTATTTGTCATATTTGAACCACTTTGTTAAATGACTGAAAAGCTGAATTAGCCAAGTGAACAATGCAGGCCCCTTTGACCTTTTGTTATGAAAACCAGTAAGTCCCTCCCCTCCCTCACCATTGCCCCTGCAGGTCCTTACTTATCAGACATGCCTTTCCTCTCCCCTAGCGTCCCACCTGATCCAAACATAGAGTACAAGCCAGCAGGTTTGTTTCTACCAGACAGTAACCCTACAAGTTCCCAAGCAGGACCTTACATATCGGACCAACCCCTCCGCCCCCGGGTATACCAGTTTATCTGTACTTACCAGCCAATCCACCTACAAGTGCTCCAGCAGGTCCCAATAAGACTCCGCCCACAGCTGTACCTCCAGCACCCCATGCCATCTGCTTAAAAACTCCTAATTTAAGAAAAGTTTAAATAAAAATCATTATCATCAATATTAACAATATCAACATTGATATATATATTAATGATATACATTATATATCTACCATTTGATCCTTTTTTTCCTGCCATAGAAAATACATGGACTGTCATGGAAAAATAATATCAACACAGTTCTACTATTCCTTGACTATTGATGACCTCAGTTTCCTTGAATGCTGATGGTATTCTGATGGTTGATTATCTGCAAAAAATATTACGCATCACTTTTTAGGCAGTGAAGAGAAAATATTAGAATTAAGCTCCATGGAAAACTCAGTAGAGGTGTGTTGTTCCACAAAAGGACAATGTCCCTGTTCAAAAGTCTGTCATTGCCATGGCTGCCATTAAAGACTGGCTTTGATTTGATTGAGCATCCGCCATTTTAGCTGATTTTGCTCCATCAGACTTTCATCAATTTCCAAAATTGAAAAAAGGCAATATCGAGTACATACTATCGGTCAGATGATAACATGGAGGACTTTCTAAACGGTCAAGTAAAGGACTTTTTTAAAGTGGCATTCAGGCCATTAAACATCGCTGGCAAAAGTGTATAGATACTGAAGATTATGTTGAAAAATGCAAGATGTCTGCCAAATGATAAACCCATAAATATGACGCTCACAACTTACAAATCAGCCCTCGTATAATATCTTTAAAAAAAAAATTTGGACATAGATATTTTAATGTTATTTAGAGGCTCAGCAGGTCAATGGCCATACATGTTCCTGCCGTTTAAACCATACCTTTTTCACAGAAATATAATTCAATGATTACTACTCAAATACCGGTACTTTCACATTATTATGCAGCCAACTAAGAGATAGTTATTGATACAAGTTGATAAAACTTGTTTTGTGACTGTTTTATAATGGTGAGTGAGTCAACAACTGAATGTGGTATTCATACATTCACATTTTCACATTGTATGTCTTTTAAACACACCTTTAGCACTTTTTTTCATTTCTGGATTGGTTTCTAGAATTTCTACAAGATGACCAAAATAAGGTATAAAAGCTGCACCAAGAGCTCCTGCCATGTTTGTCCTCGTGGTCCTTTAGCAAGGTGACTGCACACTTCCTGAAAGTAAACAAAAACAAATCTGGTCAAACAAATAGTGTGGTATGCCTAAAGTCAAGACTTTGTTTGGCTGTAAACAAAATCTCACAGTCATGATGTACACTTACATGTATATAACTTGACAAATACAACTGTCCTTATTCTTTTGATATTGCTACCAACTCTATTTTTTTCAACATTCTGGCAAAAACTTATTCTTAGAAACTTGGTATATACTATTGACACCTTCCTGAAAACATGACAGATGCCAAGCCATCATCAGTTTTGATGATGAAATTCATGGAATGCAAATTAATGCCTGAAACATCATGAACTTTTACACAAAAACCCATCAAATGTCAGATCATGTGTTCTGGACAAGTAAGCATCTCTTTAATATGCATCTCTTCAAAATGTATTGACCAAAAAGCTATTTGTTTACTTTTGCTTTCCATTTCTTTTAACGCCCCACCACACCCAACCCCTAGCAGCCATGTTGATTGTCGAGGGTGGCTGAGAGGGGTATAAAAGAATAATCTTGTTTGTCCCTCTGTTCATCCATCCTGAACTTCATAAGTCTCCTGCACCTTTTGATGGAATTTCGTTGAAATAAGGCATTTGATAGTGCAGGAAAAACTTTCATTTTCAACAATAAAAGCATAGGTGTTCTGACACAGAATGTGATATTCAGCATGAAAAACATCTCATAATTCACATAGCTGGTTCACTTCACCATAATGGTATTTTAACCCCAGTACATTTTCCAATGTTTCACAATACCATGCTTCACTGGTAAAGGAGGAGTCACAGAGACAGAAAACCTGTCAACCAACCAACCAACATGATGAGGTAGTATTCCAAAATTGATATAGGACATAGTCATCAAGATTCCTCGCCCATTTTAATTTGTCAAATATAAACATTTAAAATGAACAACATGGAAAATTGGAAAAGATATCAGCTAATTAGGTCACAGCAGCCTCAGTGAATGTGCACAGAATTTTTTCGATAATCAAACTTTAACAAGGGATTAAGGTAACAAGTCTACCAAGCAAGTCTCATCATAATTCATTTATTCCTTCAAGAGATAACGTGCGTTAAGCATTCAGTAAGAGTGTCAAAAGATATCAGTCAATCAGGTCATAGAAGTCTCATAAAATATGGTTAGAATTTGCTGATAATCGTACCTGAACAAGGCAATAAGGTAATAAATCTACAAATCAAGCTTCGTAAAAATCTTATCATTCCTTCATAAGATAATGTGCAGAAAGACTTCCCATAGAGTGGTTAAAAAAATAAGTCAATTAGGTCATAGTAGCCTCATTAAACATGTGCAGAATTTGCCGTTAATCGAACATGGGCAAGGGACAAAGGTAACAAGTATAACACCCAAGTTTCATAAAAATCCGACCAGTTCTCAAAAGATACCATGAAGAAAGCAGTGAACAGACGGATGGACAAATGGAAGGATGACATTTGAATATCCTTCACCAACTTTGTTGGACAGGGGATAATAAATTAAAAATCAATGGTTCATCACTTAACTCTTTAAAAAATATAGAGATCTCTTTTCCCCACACGTCAAGTTTTACAAAAGATGGCTTGATAGTATAATAATTAAAATCTGAAATGATTAGATCTAATTTCATGCCTTAATTTTTCAATAAGAACGTCTAAATTTTGGCACAGTAATCATATTATTTACGCTGTGGATTGTATACTAGTACACGTAGATCTACTTGCACATGACGATAAATATGACTCATGACATGACACCTTCTACAGTTTGTATGAATTTCTTTGTTATTTACATTGATTGGGTTGGTTTCCAAATAAGTAGATAAATAAAAAATAAATGCTCGGGCTGGTTGATCAGAACAGGACATAACTTGAAAAAGCTGTATAAAACCTTTGTTATGCCTGAACTGTCATTTATTTCATTTGAATTTCATCAGATTTATTGAACGTCTGGAAAGAGATTGTAGAACTGTAATGACAGAACACATTTACACCATGATAATAACGAGAACACTACCTGTATGAACTAGGCCTAAATATACCTGCAATTTACTTTGAACCCGTCACTCTGAAAGTAGTCGAGAAGTAACCTGCACACTTACCGAGGCTGCCGAGCTGTGTCGTTAAAGCGAAAGTACTTCTAATAGGGGAGGTAACCAAATTTCCGGTTCGGTGGATCTCGTTCTGATATTTGCTAAAGTACAAAGTTCCGCATGTGCAATAGACGATAAAAAATGTCCTGTTAAGTTGTGAGATGTTATAATTGAAGTTCTAAGATGTTGAAGTTTTGTCTTATTGTTTCGCTCTTAAAAAGACGTGTAAAAATATCTAACTTGAAGAGGATACCTGGATTTGAACCAGGGATTTATCAGATTGAAATGAATGCTGTACTCCCTAAGCTATGTTAAAAATGGTAAATAATGTAACCCCTTCTTATTTATCGGCCCATTTGCCAAACACAGTGGGTTACAACAATCGGTGTAATTTACGGAACCAACATGATTATATCATTCCTTCTTTCAGACTCTCCAATCTTCTTTATCTAATGACGCTAATTCTTTTCCTCCATCTTATTATAATTTTGGCGAACGTAATCTAAATATATTACATACGAGACTCAGACATCAGTGCAGCTCTTTGAAAAGTGATTTGTTCCGTGTTAAGATTGTTGATAACCTATCGTGTGCTTGTGTACATTACTGTGAGGATGTTGGTAATTTTTTCCTAGAATGTAAGCTTCATAATAGAGTAAGAATAACGCTTTTTCAAAGTGTAACAGAGGTCATTTTTCATCTCAATGCCTCCGCTAGGAATCGAACACGGGACCCTGACTTACTAGTCTGACGCTCAACCAATCGAGCTAAAGGGAAGTTCTCTCTAGCCGAGTGGTATATTGCGGCTAGTATTTTACCAGGGTTACATATTCCTGGTTGTTCCTGATAGCCGCTACACCAAAGCAGTTCCATTGCTTTTAGGAACCAACGTCCTTTTTCCGGTTCCCAATCGCACCCGCCCATATTTGCTCATGAGTACCAGTACCCTGAAACAAATTCACTTAAACGCTTGTCATACCCATACCCTATATATCTCTACATAACGACACTAAAAAGTAGAAAAAAAATACGTCTCGGACATTTCAGTAATCGCTGTAAAATTATTACATACTGAACAATGCAAACTAAAGTCCTGATCCGATTATTTTGCCAGTAAGATCAACCGTGATCAGTCGATAAAGGGTTATATTCATACATTTCATTAAAAGTTGCCCGATTAAAGCTCATATGCATGTAGCTCAGCGGTTGAGCATGCGTCTGCTGATTGAGAAGTCTGGATTTTTTTGTAACCAGTGTTTTTGAGAAACTTTTTCCAAAGTCCTCCCACCATTTTCTTTTTGATCTAGACAAAATGACAAAATTTGCTCGCCAGAAGCTCGCCATTTTTGTTTTGTCTTTCTTCACCCTTGCCAACATACAGTTTACATGTTAAGCCACTGAACACGTGTTTCCTATACATGTACATTATATATCCTGCCTTTTGTTAGATATTTTATTTGTAAATGAAATATACACTGCCTTTTATAACGTGAACAATATGGGATCAATACGACACCCATTAGGCTGTTTTAATGTACTCTGTTTAAACTCAACTTCTTGTCAAACATTGAAGATGTTGTTTACTTTTGAAATGATCTGTGATTAACACTTTGTCATGACTGATATTTGTGTATAGTGGTTTTTATCGGTTTTGAGTAGGACTGTAGTGTGACTCGTGCAGGAGGGGGCATACTAGGATTGTGGTGTGAGTGTGGGAGGGGGTACTAGGATTGAGGTGTGTTGGAGGGAGACGCTAGGATCGAGGTGTACTAGAATTGAAGTGTGAGTGTGTGAGAGGATACTAGGATTAAAATGTGTAGGAGGAGGACGCAGGATCGAGGTGTTCTAGAATTGAGTTGTGAGTTTGGGAGGGGGTGTACTAGGATTGAGGTGTGGATGTGGCTGGATACTAGGCCTGTGGTATGACTAATGCGGGAGGGGGTGTACTGGGGTTGAGCCGTGAGTTTGGAAGGGGATACACTAGGATTGAGGTGGGAGGAGGTGTATTAGGACTGAGGTGTGGGTGTAGGAGGGGGTGTACTAGGGTTGAGGTGTGAGTGTAGGAGGGGGTGTACTAGGATTGAGGTGTGAGTTTGGGAGGGGGTGTACTAGGATTGAGGTGTGAGTGTGGGAGGGGTTGTACTAGGATTGTGGTGCGGGTGTAGGAGGGGGTGTACTAGGGTTGAGGTTTGAGTGTAGGAGGCGGTGTACTAGGATTTAAGTGTGGGAGGGGTGTACTAGGATTGAGGTGTGGGCATGGGAGGGGGTGTACTAGGATTGAGGAGTGAGTTTGGGAGGGAGTGTACTAGGATTGAGGTATGGGTGTGGGTGGATACTAGGCCTGTGGTATGACTCATGCAGGAGGGGGTGTGCTGGGATTGAGCCGTGAGTTTGGAAGGGGATACACTAGGATTGAGGGAGGGGTGTACTACGACTGAGGTGTGGGTGTAGGAGGGGTTAAACTAGGGTTGAGGTGTGAGTTTGGGAGGGGGTGTACTAGGATTGAGGTGTGAGTTTGGGAGGGGGTGTACTAGGACTGAGGTGTGAGTATGGGAGGGGGTGTACTAGGATTGAGGTGTGGGCGTGGGAGGGGGTGTAGTAGTATTGAGGTGTGGATGTAGGAGGGGTTGTACTAGGGTTGAGGTGTGAGTGTAAGAGGGGTTGTGCTAGGGTTGAGGTGTGAGTGTAGGAGGGGTTGTGCTAGGGTTGAGGTGTGAGTGTAGGAGGGGATGTACTAGGAATGATGTGTGGGTGTGGGAGGGGGTGTACTAGGACTGAGGTGTGAGTGTGGGAGGGGGTGTACTAGGATTGAGGTGTGGGTGTGGGAGGGGGACGCTAGGACTGAGGTGTGTGTAGGATGGTGTGTACTAGGATTGAGGTGTGGGTGTAGGAGGGGGTGTACT